GAAATGATGTAAGATTTATTAAGTTAATTTTTAGAACACGTGTTCAATCCCTTTCATGTATGTATACATATTGTCAATAAAAAATGTTCCAAAAAATTGTGTTTTATTATTGAAATTACTTATTATTGTTGTAAATTATTTTAAATTATTATTTCAATTTTATCGCAGGGTCAATTTTTCGTGATATGGGATTTAATTTTAATATTTATACTTCTTGCGATGCAAAACTTCCATATATATGAGTGTTATCTCAATGCCAGGTACTACCTGAACGCTCTCTAGAATTCTGATGCTGTTAACTTTAAGGAAGAAAAACTGCATATTTATTAACTATAAGGTCCATAGGCGTAGTCACAGGGGGGGGGGGGGGCACTAGGCCCCCCCCCCCCCCACTTTCAGATCGGGGGGGGGGGGGGGGGGCAAAAGGGGGGGGGGCAGAGTATGTCTGTGCCCCCCCCCCCCCTTTTTAATGAAGAACAAAATCACAGCTATTTTGAAGTAATAATAAACCTCATTTTATGGCATTTTTTTTATGTTCAACAACTGAGTAAGCATTTTCTCTTGAAGTAATAGTTGTAAAAAATAGTAATGTAGTATAGTCAATCAATCAATTCAATTTCTTTATTGATTCACCAAACATGTTGGCATACAACCATGTTACATATAAAAGACAAGTAATAAAATACATACATGCAAGTGTATGGATCAGTGAAGTCAACAATGCAGAGTATAACAACTTGAAGATTAAACATAATCATTATGCAAGCAATATAGTATGAACAGTGATGAGCTAATAAATGCATTAAATAAATATATTATAATTGTGCTTTATTTTTGGAACGCAATTCAAAACATTCATATAAAAATTCACACAGCCTTCTAGAATGAACTGCATTATCAGGATTACATAATACTTTACAATGATTTTCTTTCAATATGTTATCGTTTAAATTACAGATGTTCAAAGAACAGTACTTTTTTCGCAAATCTATATATAAGGGACAGTCATATATGAAATGTATTTCACTTTCTACAACAGTTTTACAATAGTGACAAAAACGCGATTCTTTTGGGATACAAGGCTTTGAATATCTGCCTACTTCAATTTCCAAAGGATGTGCAGAAATTCTCAGTTTTGTTAATTTAGAACGTATAGCTTTATTTATTGGATATTTTAAGTAGTCTTGTAATTCATAATTCTTTCTAATTTGACTGAAAAATAATAATTTACCAAATTTGGAGAATTCAATGTTCTGGAGTTGCAAATTAACATGTTTTATGTAAAAATTCTTCAAGCAGCTGCTGAATGTGTTATCAGTTATATCTAATGATGGAAGGTTAAGTTTCTTTTTTAATTTATCAATCTGACTTTGCCAATTATCCTTTACACCATTACTATATAAGTTGTCATCTTCTAAGGAAGCAGCAATAAGAATTTGATTTCTAGTGCTATTTTTATTCTTAACATTTTTTAGTCTCTTATAGTATTTAAACATTGAGATGATAGCTTTGCAACAAATAGGGACTGTTCCTAGCTCATATTTAATGGCTAAATTTGAAGCTTTTCTCTGTACACCCAAAATATCTTTAAATATCAAATGCTGTATCTTTTCAAAAGGTAGTTGATCACAATTGTTTATATTAATATTAAAGTCTGAAATCCATATTTCAGAACTATACAAAATGATAGGTTCAATAAGTGAAGTATATAATTTCAAAAGAGTTTTTACAGATAAGTTATTATGAAAAGGTAATGAGCGTTTCATTGCATAAAAAGCTTTTCTTGCACGGTCAGCTAGTTGTTCAGCTGCATACTTAAGCTTACCATTATAAGTAAAAATAATTCCTAGATATTTATATTCATGTGCAAGATGAACTATTAAATGATTATAATAAAAACAATATTGAGTTGTGTCAATTTTCTTATTTGAGAAAATCATTGCTTTAGTTTTATCAGAGTTAACAGTCAATTTTGATTTTAGGCAATATTCTGAGAGACAGTCTAATGAGTTTTGGAGACCTTCTTTTGCAGTAGAGAGGAGAATTAGGTCATCTGCAAAGAATAAATGTCCAACTTCAATATTTTGTAATTCAGGAGGACTTGTGTTATAATTAATTAAGTGTGAGTAGAAGTCATCAATAAATATATTAAAAAGAATAGGGGAAAGATTATCTCCTTGTTTAACCCCGCGTGTAGCTATAAAATGTTCACTATAGTAAGATTCATCTTTACAACAATATTTAGTATTTGAGTACATATTATTTATAATATTGTAAAATTTCCCACCTATGCCCTTTTGGTATAGTTTGTGTAACATTAAAGTACGATCAACTGTATCAAAGGCTTTAGTAAAATCCACAAAACATGCATAAATGTTTTGTTTCTTCCATTTTAAATATTTATTTATAAGGGTTTTTAAAATATATTTTTTGTTTGTTTGTTTATATATATCTGTGGTACGGTGGTTTCTTCTGAATCCAAATTGATAATTACTCAGTAGGCCATTTGTTTCCAAGTATGAATTTAGGCGGCATTGTAAAAGTCCATTAAAGAGTTTCCCCATACAGCTTGTAACACTTAATCCTCTATAGTTCGATGGGTTACATGGGTCACCAGATTTATAAATAGAAGTTATTTGTACCAAATTCCAGGCTTCAGGTATTTTTCCAGTAAGAAGAATTTTATTAAAGAGCTTTGTCAATATATTTAGAAGTGTACTTGAGCCACTTTTAATAAACTCGTTGAGAATTAGATCTTGTCCAGGTGATTTACCATATTTTAGACTTTTAATGCCAAGTTTGACTTCACTGCATGTGAAAGGATAGTCAAGGGGAGTAAGTTTCTGAATTTCAGATTTATCTACATATTCACAGGAGTTACTGCCCTTAGAGCACAACAAGTTTTGATAGTGATTTATAAATGCTTGAAGTCCTGGATTGGAAGAATTTGAGTTTTGTTTAATTTTATTTTTGTTTAGGACCTTCCAAAAATCTTTTGAATTGTTCTGATTTAGATTGTCGATATTGTCAGTTACTGTCTTATAAAGACATAGTATAGTAATTAAATCGTCAAGACCTGCCCCCCCCCCCCCCGAAATAGGATTTTCGAGTTAGGGGAACTTTCAATTTGGTTTTTTTTTTTTTTTTTTTTTTTGGTTGTCAAAGAATTTCTGGAGTTGAACTCCCCCACTTTTAAGTTTGTGACTACGCCTCTGAGGTCCCTATATATGTGATGCACCAGGAATCTGTGCATGTGTCCTCAGGCTGCAGACATCGTTGGGCGAAGTGCAGAATGAAAGTAACAACCTGGTTCAAATCCCTCTAGTTTGTGAGTTGTTGTTAATCACAAATCGAGCCGATCGTCCACATTGTTGTGTCATATTAGCCTCGAGCTCATATGCACTTGTTTCTGTAATTTTTTTAAAATTATCTTTGTTAAACTAGGGGTTTAAAGAAATGAATAATTACAGATCTAGAAACATTAATATAAGTGACTGTGCTCTGGATCCTGGATGTTGTGTGCTGTGGTACACTCGCTGGTTCCTGGGGATTTGAACAATTAAGCTGGTGCATAAATCTACAGTTTACTTGACAATGTACATTGTATATATGCTTACATCGATGTAACTTGCAACACTTCGTTTTCAAATATAACAATTTAATGTATAGGAGAATATTTCTTACATTAAAGTTTTAGGATTCAGAGCTCAGAAAATTATCATCCTAAAACTAGCTATACTGTGAGCATTAGGCTCATAAAATTATACCCCAGCCTCTCATATGATAACAATGGCAAAGTCCATGTTTTCCAATGGGAGACCTGAAATATACATGTCATTTAGATCAAAAAGTAAAATGGAATTGAGGTGCGCAATGGAACTAAGAACGGATATTCTGTGAAAGTATCATTAAATCTCATTCCTGGTACAACAAGTAATAAAGATTCTGTGAAAGTATCGTTCAATTTCATTACATGCTATTATGGTACGTGTATAAGAGGAGTTGTGGATAAGAGATGGGTATAATTCCAAAGTGAAAGCAGATAACGGACGGACATACTAACCCCCCTGCTTTTCAAGCGGGGGTATAGTTTATTTCACAGATTCATTCAGAGCTATTTTATATTTTACCTTATTAACACATTAAGAACATCTAATATTCCCTAAAACAGATATAACCCTCTAGTGAACCATAATCCATAATGATAGGCGTCGGAAACAGATTAAAAGGTATATGCTTATTCAAATGGTGGAGGGGAGGGGCTAGAGTAAATCAAAGTACTCAGAAGTACAGAGAGCCGGGCTCATTTACAGAGTAGAATGGATTTCTTACACGAATCACGTTTATATTCTGATGAAAAAAAATATTTTAAAACTATCAATATAAATGATAAGACACTGACAGTGAGTTTTTCAATCCTAATACCACGGTCCGATTTTGTCAGAATCAGAATTAATCTGGTACCGCAGCAGAATGTAAACAAACAGGCCAGTCTGGTTCCCTCTTCTGCTTTACCTCGTATGTGTAGAGAACTACGGTAACACTGATTATCAAAAATCCTTACGCTAATGACTTATGAAGTTTGACTTATGAAGTTTTCAAAGTCATTACTACTATTGTTTATTTTATATAGATAAAACTTCGTTTTATTTTTGTTGCTTTATTTACCGTTTGTATTATCTCAAAAGCGGTTGAGAGTAAGAACTATATTTTTGCACGTAACTTTAAAATGGCGACTATGGGGTCAACATCCTGCCTTGAACAGGATCACATAAGCCGGCAATTGCTCTTTGAGCAATAAGCCCGGCTAAAAAGTGAAGCTCCAATTTTCAATACCTATATCATGTGTATCTTTTTTTAAAGAATGGGGATATAACACACCCACACACCCACACACCCACACATCCACACACACGGTTCCAATTCCGACGCCCATGAGAGAATATGCCTTTCATTCGCATCAACAACAAAACATCGGGATCGAGATTCCATTAAATTTAATCCACATAGAGGAAATGCAGGCTGAGAACATGGAATCGGAGAACGAAGTGTCTGAGTCAGCTACTCGGACAAGAGATAGCCATGATTGGTTATATCCAGAACTGTTGTCCGAGGAAAAACTTGTACAGATTCTCAGACAGGTTGGAGCTCATATATAAAAAGCAGGATTTTAAAATATGTCGGTACCTGGGCATCTTCATACATGCAGACGTACTTCTGGAACCCGCAGTGCTTTTTTTACTGTATTTGACCATATGGCTAGCGATAAATTACTGGATCCTGTTTATTAAAACCATTTTTCTTTATAGTTAGACATAATTATGCGGTTATTACAATTTTTGGTTAATTGATGAATGTTGACTTAAATTGCATCGATGCAGATGAACCTGTACCCATTTGAACATGTTGAACTCTGACACAATCACTAGATTTAGCAAGATATCTTGAGTCACCTACATAGCTTTATTAACCTACTTGAAGAAACTTCATTTAGCTGCTAAATAAATCACTGTATATGTACATTTCTTAAATTGCATTTTTTTTTCAAGCGAGCAGAAAATCACTATTTTTTTTTTAAAGCAATTTGAAAAACTGCATTGAAATACCTAACCAGGGCTGCATGTACCTAAACGAAGTAGCTAAATAAAGCTACAAAGATAAATAAAGGCAAAGAGCTACAGATCTATGCATTGTAAAAACCTTTGATTTACCCCACCAATTTTTTTTTTTTTCGCTCCTTTCAGGTATAATTTTTGGTAGTTTATGATTTTTTATGCTTTTAGAATGGTATCTGATAATTAATCATGTATTTGAATCCAATTATTGATACTTTATATACCTTTCAACACTGTCTTTACAAAAACTTTTCTGAGACACTAGCCAGTGGGGCTAGTGGATTTGACATTATTACTCATTCAGTGGTCTGAAAAAGTCCTCTAACGGATTTGGAATGGTGGTTTTAAAGATTCCCATTCTATGTCCACATCCTAAAATGGCCCTTCTTGAACTGTTGAAAGGTAAATATTAATAATTATTTAGGAAAAGGAGTTAAATGTATGGTTATAATTATCGGATATCATTTATAAATAAAGATGGGAAAAACATAAAATACTAGAAATAATACCTGAACAAGTGAGCGACAAACAATTGGCGGCATAAATCGAAGGTTTTTACAATGCATGGATATGTAACTCTCTGCTTTATCTGTCAGAACTTTCTCAAGCAGAGAGCTACAGCTAAGGTAATTCTAGCTAAGAAGCTAAATGTACTGGGCCTGTTGAAGTGACCGTAGTACTAAAATGAATGAGGCCTCAATTGGGATGATATTCCAAATATAAAGTTAACAAGCGTTCTTATCATCACTTTAGGACCGTAATTGATTTTTAACCTTACACACTGAGAATGTGGATCATATTTACTATAGACACAGGGCATTGCAAATGTCAAAAATGTGGTACCTTAAAACTTCCATGTAGAGATGTAAAAAAGTACACATCTATTGTAATTGCATGCCTGGGTAATTTTTGTATTGAGAATTAAGGTTCCATTTCACATTTTTTTCACAAAGTTTTTCCTTTGTTAACAGAGATTTATCAGACACAAAGATTTAACACAGTTGGACAAAGAGCAGCTGGTAGACCTGTACTATAAATACATCATCCCCCTCCCCCAGAGGACATACAGGAACAACCGGCGGGGCCGGGAAATGACAAAGAGACAGATTGTACAGGCAAAGAAAAGAAAAAGCAGCCTGAATGAAGCTGACAGTCCTGATAAAAAGTAAGATTATTGTTTTTAAGCAGTCATATGATTAGTGAAGTATATGTACCTCTGTAACATGGTAAATAATATATAATTCACTGCTTAAACATTATGTCAGTTACAGGTGCCCTCATCATGTAGTATTAAAATTAATATTTCAGATTCTGTAGATGATCTTTCATTTGAATATTAAATGATAGACACTTTGAAGTTGTTTATAGATATTTTATATATACCAGTAACTCTGAAGTATGTAACATTATATACAATATCATAATGCATTAATATTTGTAGGAAGGTGAAGAGTGCGGGCAGTGAATCTCGCTTCCTGACTTCGTTTAACCTCCCTTCATCAGGCTCAGGGGAGCGGATCAAGCCACCCCCCTCGTGTATTAACTTTGAAAAGAAAAAAATCAAGCTTAGCTCGGGCAGCACTTCATCCAAAGCAGCAACAGTGACAAAAAAATTATCAGAAGAGAAAACAAAAACGTCTTTAAAACTTAAGCAAAATGGAGGTAATTCAGAAAAGACTGACAATTCAGAATCCTCTAAAGCTACAGAACATACAAAGTCCGCTTCATCTCCAGAGAAAAGGACCATTAAGTTGATAAATAACTTGTCTTTATCAGCATCAGAGACGGCAAAGAAAAGTAAAGTTATTAAGGATGATGTGCAAGGGGGAAAAACTCCAGACAAACCTGAGGCAATGGTAAGTTCTAACAGTATCAAGGTTTTCAGAGTATCTTATCAAGTTACAGAGGAAAGCAAATTTTTAATAAATTTATATTTTTACATTTAAGTCTTACAATATATTACATGATTTTTTAAAAATATATATAGTTTGCAACTGGGTCACATGCTTTGTTTTATTTATTACAATATATTTTTATTTTATTATTTATTTATTTATTGTTTGTTTGTTTACAGGACACTTCACCTGAGAGCTCCTCAAAGAAGACTTTTAAAGTGAAGAAAGTTTCATGGCCTTGAAATGAACAATGAATAATTTATGATAGATTTTTTTAAAAAGGATATATTGAATAATGAATAAATTTGTAAGATTATCCAATATTGCTGAGAGAATTTAGAAAATACATCTACTACACAACTAGTGATCATTTTTTCATGATTGTACATCTGTGTGATTGATGATCTAGAGAGATGATTTGATCTCCACTTGGTTCTTTGGCTAAACTGGTACTAATAGTGCCTTAATGTCAAGAATTTTCAGCCACATGAATTGTACAAATTTCTAAATGTCAGGGTCAAATCAGGTTTCTGTATAAAAGTTTTGTTCAGTGCTTATTTCCCTCTTCTTATGGCCCAATCTGGTTAATTCTTCATTGAAAATAAGTGAATTAAGTCCACTCCAATTTTTTTTCTGTGTTAAGTGTCCATGGAATATTGGTTTTGAGGTTATGGACGAATTTATACTATCAACAAATGCAAAGCTTTGAAACTTGATTTACTCTGTTGGGGTCAGCATCTCACTTTTTCCAAGTGCCTGTGGTGTACTTAAAAATGATAATTTCATTACATGTAAAATAGTAAGTAATTCAGACTTTAGAGAAATGTTGACATAGAGATATGATTGTACCTAACTAACACATTGTATGTGAAGGTTAATATTTACTAAGTATGCCCCATTTAAATAAGGAATTATTCAGGGAAAATGTCATTCAAATAAAAAAAAAGAAATATAGGAGGGGATGCTTCAATTCCAAATACACTTTTTTCACTTTAAAGGTACTTGGACACAGATTTGAAGTCAATATTTTCTCTGTAATATTACGACTTAATTTTAATAGCATTTCACACAAAAATTAATTAAAAATCTTATTTCATTTAAAAGTTATTAAAACTTCAAATTTTTTGATGGGTTTGATTGACAGATCCTTGCACTTTCACAAATTTTAACCTTATTCTTAATCCTTAGGAAAAGTGGCAACCTTGATGTGTATTAATGAGAAATATTAAAACTTTTTATCCAGAAAAATAATTTTATTCAGAGTAGCAATATTAGAAAGCAAAACTCCTTCACAAGTATCTTCATTCCGAACTAAGAGTTGCATACAGAGTTTAGCAAATCGAGCATACTCATGTTATATTCACAGTTTTTGTAAACAGGGCATGAGTTCTGTTATTGTTTATGTTTACAATTCGCCAGGTGCATTCAATCGTCACAGTCTGCTTACCACAACTGCACGGACTGACAGTATATTGTGTGTTTGTTTTGCTTTCGAACATGTCTACTCTTAATTTTCTGGATCATAGGATTAATATTTTTCATTTATACAAAACGAGATTGTCACTTTTCCTAAGGATTAAGAATAAAATTAATTTGTGAAAGTGCAAGGATGTGTCAATCAAACCAGCCAAAAAATTTTAAATTTTAATATCTTTGATATGAAATAAGATTTTTTAATTAATTTTTGTGTGAAATGCTATTAAAATATATAAGTTGTAATATTATAGAGAAAATAATAACTTCAAATCTGTGTCCAAGTACCTTTAAAGTGTTCAATTTCATGAAAGGTACACTCCGACCAGGTTAGAGAAAGAACAGTCATTGAATAATTTTTTTTTTTCAAATGTAGAAACTTAATGAGGACTTCTTAATAAACCCGAAATTTTCACTTGATGAATAAATAACAAGTATTTTTTTTAAATATTAATCAGAAGATTTTAGTCATCAGAGCTGTTGTGGTGACATTAGTAGTTAAAACATCAACCTAGATTTTTGTTTGGACTACAGTGACATTTCTGATCAATATAATGAAGCACATGACTTAAATTCCCCCTGGGTTAATTGTTTTTAAATCATTGTAATTATGACAAAATGCCAAGAATGTTGCAAGTGTGCCCTACTGATTTCATGACATAATTTTGAAATTCATCATTGATGCATGCACATTCCCTCAACTCTTCTTGGAAAACCCCCTCGGCATATTAGTCCAACAGCTGCTTACACCAGTCATGACAATCTTCTCAATATTTTTTTAAAAGAAAACAAAAACAAAAATACTTCAGAGTATTGTTCATTTATTTTGCAATCTAGATTAAATGAAAATATTTATATCAGCTGAAAAGTCTTGTTACAATGAATACACTTTTGAAGGATGAAAGCCCTAGCTCCAACTGTTCAAAAGTTATGACCAAGGTTAAAGTGTGGTATTCTTTTTGTAAAAGTAGGTCAAACTCCAAGGTCAAGTGGTCAAATTTGGTGGTACCCATAGCTCCACTGACCCAATCCATAGTTATGGGTAAGGTTAAAAGTTGACAACAGAGAGACGAACAGATAAACAGACATACAGGACAAAAACAAAATACCCCCGGTGTCTTTCGATCCGGGGGCATATATATTATGAAGTAGTAATAATTAGATTAAAATATTTGTTATTCGTTACAAACGAAGTGGATTGAAAAAAATACAATATTATTTATACGCGGCCTATAATCGTTCTCTCAATAGGTCAAGGTACCGGCTTACATTGTAGCAACCTTGACCTTTTTTATTAATATAAATTAATGCATCAGTACACTGCTGGCAAATTGGTAATTAAACAATATATCATTAGTCATGTGCTTTCGGTTTTTGCACGAAATATATAAATTGTTCAACACACTATACAACCAATGTACAATTTGAAAGTGCTTTAAATGATAGACAAATTTTAAAATAATAATTTTTGGAATTTTCACAACTACAGGTGGGTTAACATTGTCGTATATTTTCAGTACGCTTAATTTAACTCATCGGTTAATATTAAAAATGTTTGGAATTTGATGAGCAAATTGTGCCTCGGGTATCATACGGCAAGTTGAGCTGGATGATCTGATCGATACCTGTTATACTTAAAAATTAAAGAATATGTGGAAAAACAGACATAGATGGAAAATAATGTACTGTATCAACTCTTACAGCACTAAAAACAAACTGTTTCCATGCTTTTAAATTTTTGAAAAGTTAAATTTTAATTTGCATTCTTTTGTGAATTCTGTTCTAGTCGAAGAACCCGGTATGTCCTTGACCGCATGTCTCCTTGGCATCATGCTCACAGCTACAGTCCTTTTGGATGGCCTTCCAGTTTCTAGTAAGTATACAGTAAGCTTTCATGCAGCTGCTGAAGTTTGCATCTGATATCCATATGTGCATGCCAATCTGATTAAAATCAGATCCTTAATTTGATCCGTTCACATAGATTGCTACACATGTAAGGGGATCAAAGTATCTGATTTTAATCAAATTGATGTGTATATGCATTCATACATATAAAGAATTAAAAATTCATTTTGTTTATCAGTGGATTACCCCCCGATTACACAAATACACATGTATATAATTGTATATTCTTATATTCCAGAGCCAAATGGACCAGGAAAAGCAAAATTGTTTTCTTACGCCGAGTTTGGTTTTTGTCTGGAGAAGCATCTGAATGGATCCACCGTCTGTACAGAATTCGCCATGGAGTGCATGGATTATTGTAACTCACTACAACCCGTGAAAATTTGACTTTATAAAACTCTTTCAGAGTTGTCCATCTTTAATACTGATTGAAATGATTCAAATCGTTGCATATGAATAAAATAAAAAATATGACACTCTTCTGCAAACATTTAATTAAAAATGGAAGGATGGCATAAGAGGTGAAAGTTGAATAAAAAATATTTTTAAGGAAAGACAGTCTACAGAAAATATTTTCATTATGCAGGAAAAATCCTGACAGTCTATTACACCATTATACCCGATATAATATATTTCAAGAGTTTTATACTTGATTATCATCTACATGTACATGAATGCATGGCTCTCTGTTGTAGAGTAGGATTTCCCCTAGAGTACTCTAGAAAATGAAAATCTCACACTGGCTCTTACACACTCACTCAGAGTAGGATCTCCCCTTCTTATAGACAATATAAACCACACCCGCAATATTTTGTACAGTGTATAAAAAATTAACGACAAACTGATTTTTAAATGGTAAATGAATGTTTTTCTACTTATGTAGTGACAATTTTTTTAGCATAAATTGAGTATAAATTTCAAATCATGGAGTCTCAACACAAATATTTCATTTTTTATAAAAAAAAAATTGTACGTGTAAAAATTCTCTGAATCGATGTTTTGGCAAAAATTAGATATAGCTCAACATCTTTATTCGTTAAGAAAAAACATTTCGGACTGAAAATATTTAAAAATTGAAAAGGTCGTAATTCCGTAAAAATTATTGAAGCGAAATAATATGCAAACTTGAACTTTAACTCATCACGATACACCCCCAAACCAAAAATAAGGTCAATATCTTCAAACATTCAAAAAAAGGTGCGGAAAACCATTTGGGACAGACAGAGGGACAGCCTGACAGACAGACGGACGGACAGACGAAGAGCAAACCCATATAGTTTCATCGATTTGTTTGATCTAAAGAAATGATTTAACAGTTGCTGAGAAAAATGAGATTTAAAATTTTTATTTTTCGTGTACGTATGTTTAATACATCTGGTCACCATTTTTTAAAAGAAGGGTGTAACAATGAATCGCCCTTCCCCCTTCAAAACATAAGTACAACACAGCATTTATAATTGGGGGGGGGGGGGGTAATTGGCTCTGGGGGAATCACACTCTATACTACACAGAATAGGATTTCCCCTCGGAAAATTGACTCTGGTGTGGGATTTCCGTAAGTGAAACTCTGCTCTATATTAGTTTTCCGGGAGGAAATCCAACTCTAGAGCTAGTTTTCCGGGGAAAAACATTTTGAGGAGGAAAGCCTACTCTACAAGACCCCCAATAATTTTGCCAATATATCTTTTTCTTGCCTGTCAAGGAATTTTTGGTAGTTGATAGTGTCCCCAAATGATAATGTATTGCTGTGCTCCCCAAACTGAAATTGCTTCCTACTGGCCTGAAATGTAGAGTTGAATGAAATCAGGGGCCAATTTTACATAAGAATTCTTTAACGTGGGGATCCGGGTTAAAACAGGTCCTCAGTACCCCCTTGCTTGTCGTAAAAGGCAACTAAATGGGGCGGTCCTTCGGATGAGACCGTATAAACCGAGGCCCCGTGTCACAGCAGGTGTGGCACGATAAACATCCCTCCCTGCTCAAAGGCCGTAAGTGCCGAGCATAGGCCTAAATTTGCAGCCCTTCACCGGCAATGGTGACGTCTCCATATCAGTGAAATATTCTGGAGAGAGACGTTAAACAGTATACAATCAATCAATCTAACGAGTAAGACTAAGTTAATTTACGCTATTTTAAATTAAATTAATTATAACAGGAATTTAATCTTTTTAAAAAGAATTTGAGGAAATATTTTTAAACTAGGGATTTCAATTGGGATAATTTTGCAAAATTTCAGTCAGCTAGAGTTTATGGTCTTGGTCATGAATTACTAGTACATGCATTTTGCAAAATAAACCTCAGGCCTCAAGACCATAGACTGAGAACAGATCTGAGTCAAATATTTCAAATAACAAATATTTTCAATTAGGCCAAAAAAATAATAGTCTTGTTTCCTGCTACCAGCCTGAAAAAAATAGGGTAGGTAGGTAGGGAAATTATTAATTTTTATTTTTCTTTTTTATTTAATTTTTTCTGACGGTGTTTCTTTAGATATGTTCTAATACAAGATCAAATTAAACATGTCATAGGTCAATGCTGCCTTTTAAAATAAAATTTCATGTCTTAATTTTGATACACAACTCAAATGGTATTTTTATGAAAGTCTTTATTTAAAACATAGAATTTTTATGAAATACCACTTGAATGTTTATTTTTTTAAGTTTTGGAATAAACATGAAATTCCAAAAATGACAAAAAAAAAACTATTTTCAATTATTTTTATTTTTGGCCTTATTAATTATGAGACTTTTTAGGGAGACGCAGATTTTTGATTATGGACAACATTTCCAGTTTTATACCATTTCAAGCTATTTTTTTGCCTTCCACCATCAGAGCTAACAACCAAAGTCCGTTTTCTATTTAGGAACTTTTATTGTGTATGGATATTTTTGAATGCAAATACATCATGTATTTCACTTTAAATATCATTCTAAAACACAATAAAAATATGAAGTTTAACCTTTACAAAAAGATGTTACATCTCAGCAATAGGACTTCATTACTGATTGACATTTATTGCATCTCCTTTGCACCTGGCCTCTGCGTTTGGTCACTATGTATAGTTAAATAGGTAGCTATTGAAGACTATTCCTTATCTGTGCCTTTTTTGGTCTGCCTGGTCCTTTTCTCTCCTTAAACTTGACCTTGAACTTTGATTGCTGAACGTTTTCCCTTCTCTCTAACTCGGCTGTCATTTGAGGTCTGGGTCTGGACTTTTTGGATTTCCCTCCTTTTGTTGTTTTCCCTTTTTTCGCTGACTTTCCATGCTTGGCTGTGTTGCTTGGCTCTTCCTCTGTTAAGGTGGGCATGCTCAGTAAGAAACTGCCAGCATCTTCATTGTCATTCAAAGATTCATCTTTGATTTCTTCTTCATCTGCAATTAATAAATATATTATTTGATTAAAAGCCCCTCACAACAGAGTTGGTTATTAATTTATATGTACTGTAGAAGTACTTTCTTCCGCGTTGTATTAATTTAAGCTATGTACCCGGTCACTCATTTTCCGCGGAAATTTGTCCAAGTGTACTTAATATAAATACGAGGGTTGATCCAAAAGTTCGTGGAATTTCATCATATTTTATTTATTATTCAGTGGAATTGGTTGAAAATTACAAATGAAAATATAGACACTTGATGAATAATTTAAATTAAAAAACATTTTAAATATCTTCGATAGTACCTTTATGGCAGTTGCCATAGAAACGGTTGTTTGGAAATGCGGGGGAGACATTAACGCGTTTATTGTCATATAAATTCTTAATTCCTGAAATAAGAATTAAACCGCCCTATGTGGAATATAAAACGAAAATTATGTCATTATTACGATTGCTTGATCTTTTATAGACCTTTGTGCGAGAGTTTTACTAATTTCACTGGATATTTAGCTTATAAGTTGATGATTTATTGCTCATCTTTAAGTTGTTAGATAACGTCAAATTTCGGTCAAGTCATACGTTTTGTGAAAATCCCGGGATCACTCTATCTTAAACGCGTATATTATTGACATAGGCTTGGGAAAAATGCATTTAGTTACTGGTTTTCCAGTGGCATAAGAAATTTAAGAAACATAGAACTTCCATGGACGTTAATAAAAGGTGTGGTCGCTTTTTAGAGGCTCTGTTTAAGTACATATCCCCCTAAACAAATTAAAAGCGTTAATGGGCGTTGTCGGCTGCCGTACTGTTCTCGACATTGCTACTGAAATTGGAACATCATATGGAAAGATGGGTAGTGTTTTGAAATATGAGTAAAAAAATGAAGATAAGTTGGTGCGAGAGGATACTCAGGCTTTTCTTGAGAAAAAAAATGGAGAAAAGGGCAGCATTTCGTAGAATTGCGTATTAAAATTGGACATTTGGGCGAGATGCTTCTATAACATGACGTGACATATCTAACTTGACATTACGTCGAAGTCTCCCCCGGGTTTCCCAACTATCCGTTTTCAGAAAGCTCGTGAGACCTTATTGGTAATTGGAAAGTAGTGAAATTTTCCAATATTGTTGCATTATGACTCTATATTATGAATATGCCTATTGATTGATTTCATCAAATTACGATAAAATTTTAGAAAGAAATTCCACGAACTTTTGGATCAACCCTCGTATAAGGCATATAGTGACAGTCTAAGAAATCCGCGTAATTTTCTACCCACGGATTAAACAGAAATTGAGATTCCGCGGAAATGACCCCATGGAAAAAAGTACATCTACAGTAAATTAAACATTTTTAAATAAGCGTTTGGAAACAAAGTGAAAGGGGGGAAACTAAACCTAAGACAATTACCGGTAACATTCAGAGGACAAAGCCATAATTTTTAATGCCTTTATTATGTCTATCTTTGCAAATAAAGGAGGATAAGACCCCCCACCACCACCCAGCCATCTGGTTATGAACTTCTGATGCCTACTATGTTAAAATCATTAAAGGATGTTAAATTATCTCAAGTCAAATTGTAATAAAATCTGAAAATGTTGGTAGAAAAAAATTCATATAATCAAGAAATTTTCATATAATCAAGCTCGCCAAATCATTGTAAATCTTTTCAATACCTGTTATTTCAATATTACTGTAACATATATTTATGAAATAGATAGTTGACTGTTGAGGGAGGTAAATTTTTGTTGCACATGCTGCATGTGTTGCATGAAGAGACTCATGCATTCATACATGTATCTTCTATCGTGTCTATGAAATATTAAATTTTGAACTAAACTATCCATTCCTTGGTGACTTAAAGCTGACATGAATTCTTAAAAACGCAACATTTTCATCTATGTACGACTTGTTTCATACCAACTATAGCCGTATTCCGCCATATTTCTTTCAGATACCTTGTCTCATTGTAACGATATGCGCTCGTTACACTTGATTTTTTGGAGAGAATTAAGAGCCCTCTCCGATTTTTTTTTTTTTTTTTTTTTGGGAGAGGGCTACAACTCCTTAGGATCTCTATAATGGCGCAGAATATATATCACACGGATTTCTCAAATTATCAGTAAACGGCTATTTTATTATTAGCTCTTACTGCTCCAAATATGTAATTATGCAAAACATAAATCGTTTATTCACAACGACCCATATATCGGTTATTTTTCGTGTGTGTCACCAGCTTAACTTGAATTTATCCGCCATGTTTACTGACCTTGATGGATTGTATTTTGGGACAGCCAATGAGAATTTAGGTTCTATAGGAGCGGATCTACTAGGAATTCCCTTATTTTAAGCATACGTATCGCTGTTTGCGCAAAAATAACACTTGAAATGGTTTTATTTATCGATGTTTTTGTCTTAAAGCACATCGTTTATAAACATCGACATTTGCTTTATTTGGTTGTTCCAAATTTCAAGCGAAAGTCTTTTTATATGAACTGTCATGGCTGCTGAATATTGCAGCTGGGAAAGACACAGATTTATTTTACATGGTTTTCGAGTTTAACAGGCTATGTTGTTGACAGTGAATAAAAATTCCGTCTTATAAGAAGTAAGTTTAATGTAAAAATAATTTATTTTGCCTCCAATCACCCGTATCAAAAAAATATATTTGCACCATTACGGAGATCCTAAGGTGTTGTAGCCCTCTCCAGAAAATATCAGATAAAAAAAATCGGAGAGGGCTACATTATTGCAGCTACTCCGATGGTAAAGCATATTAGAACACAAGATGTGATCAAGACATTTCAAAAACAAAATAAACAGCATAATAATCATATTTTTGAATGATTATTGATTTGAATCAAAAGAAAAAAATGCAAGTTTGGAAGGTAATTTAGAGCTTTATTTTTAATGCTTTATGCAGAATAAACTTGAAATAAAAAAGCAATAAAATTTGCAAACACATTTTGAAATTATATCATGTATATGGAACAAATCAACCAAGGATTTAGCAGGCATATCTGTGTAAACGTACCCATACCTGGTAATAAGGTTACTGCATCGGTTCGAAGATGTGCACAAGTCAAGTGAAATACAAATTCCATTTATTGAAATATGGTAAACTCTCCAATAGTAAACACACTGTCATTACTCCGTACACAACCTTAGCACGACGATACACTTAGTCCGATGATCATATTTTGTTCAGGGAAAATATCAAAAGTGGAAAGAGAAGTTATTTGGTATTTGCGCGGCTGAAACTGATGTTCATAAGTTATAATTGTGAATTGTTTATCTACACGTAGTTCTAATATACGTTCTATACAAAGTCATGTATATAGTCTGCAGTTGGTCTGCAAAATTCATTTGTCAATTATAACTGATTATTTTAGTACTAATCTCAAATCTAAACAAAGTAATTTGATGTAGCTATAATTTACTTCAAATCTTAAAAGCAATTAACCAGAATACAAATTTTTATGTGTACATCTATACATTCTTTAACACATACACACACGGGTAAACATTTAGGCATTTGATTTTTTGGACTGTAAATGACATGACATTTAAATATTCTAGGAAGACAGACATTTCTGCCGAATTCAGTTTTGAGATTTTTTTAAAATGTGTCACTTCTCACACATTTTGAGGAATGTAACGGTTTTATAATTATGTTGTTAAGGAAGTATCAACCCTGCCTGATAGTCTAGGCATTTTTTTTAATATATATATATATATAAATAATTTCTGTAGGTGAATTTGGGAGATAATTTTAAAAGCTAGGGTGGAATTCCAATATTTATTATTTATTCTTTTGTATATTGAAGTCTGTAACCACCCGTTGGGGCAACGATAGGCAACGATAGGTATAAAATCCTACGCACTTTGGGCTATACCATTTATTATGCCTTAGGACAGATCACGGATTTTTTTCAGGCGGGATGTCGAAACTTCATAAATTGAATAATAAATTTACTTTGGACAGGAAATTAACCCAAACGCCCAAATTGAAAGAGAAACTAGACGTACATGTATTATGAGCAATGAACTCACTAAATGATACCCCCTGCCTCCCATATGGTTATAATGGCAAAGTCCATATTTCGCTAAAACCATACGTGTCAGATCAAAAAGTAAATTAGGAGGTGCATAATGGTAATATGTAATAAACTTAAGATTCTTCGAAAGTTTCATTAAATATCTCTAAGTGGTGTAAGAGGATTTACGGACAAGAGATGGGTACCCCAAAGCGTAACAGACAGACGAACGGACATAACGATTACCTCCCACTTTTTCAGGCGGGGGATATAATAAAGGTGAAATATAAATCACAGGAATGGGAACATTGGGAACTTTCTCGAATAAAATTTTAATGTGTCGAACTTGGACAACAGACAAGAGAATTTTTAAAAAGCTAGTTTTACATGTAGGTAGAATGTGGAATTCTCCTTTACTCTCTCTTCCTATATGCTTTTTCTAATAATCATTAATTATTTATGTCTAGAAATTTAATTCACATTAAATTCTATTTTCATTATCATTGTACCAAAGAATTAAACTCGTTTATTATACATGGTATAATGTTTTTGACCCGTCAGTCAGTCTTTTTTTTTTTTTTTTTTTTTTGGTCAGCGCAACTTCTCATAAACCACTGAACAGAGTTTTGCCGAACTTTGCAGATATTTATAGGAGACAATGTGTGTGTAGATTTGCACATCACCAGGAAATTCCGAATTCTTTATTTTTCCCGTTTTACATTTAAATTTTGGCCATATCTTGAATATAGAGGTCTTTGTCAGCACAACTCCTCATAAACCGCTGCACACAATTTCGTCAAACTTTGCAGATATTTAGGACACAATGTGTATAGATGTGCATATTACAAGGAAATTACGATTCCTTTATTTTTTTCTGGGAATTTCAGCACTTTGACTTTTGGGGGAGCGTTGGGTATGTGAACGTTCACATTTTCTTTCATAATAAAATTATAAATAACTTTAAATCAAATTATATTAGGTCTAATAAAGCCAATACACAGTATTTATTTGATAATAATTGATCATAAAGAAATCCAATCTGTTTCAGACGTTTTTCTTATATTATTTTTATGAGAGTGTTATGCATGTTTCATTACACCCCCCCCCCATATCACGGGAAAATATCTTCAAAAGGTGAAGGATTCGTAATAATGCCTGCTTTTTTTTATGAATTTGATGAAGTTAAACCATGTACTTAACCGTAAATTTTATTTACAACATGTACAGACAAGAGTAATGTTTATTTTTTAAAAAATCACTTGCATTTTTTTTTCAATCAACCCCACTGAGCTTTCAACCTTTGATATTTTCCCTGACCAAATAAAATGATCATGGGCCACGTGTGTCCAAGCATCTTTTACTGTTGAGTTAGCAATGGATTACATGACTTCTGAGATGCATTTTTCAATAAAAGTAAAATAGGATAATTCTTTCGACATGTGCACATCCCTGTAACGATAGCAGTAGTCAGGTAAATGTTTTTATCACTGCCTTTGACGCGTTTTCTCGACCTGCAAGGGTGTTTGATGTACATGTATGTATTCCGTGTTCGTTTATTTTCTATATTGCAGCAAATGCATTCAAAAATAATTTAATTCTCAGTATAGTTCTATTTTTTGTTGAATTTTTACTTTTCAAACATGTATTTGGTCAGTTTATGAACTTCTAAAAACTTTGTTATCGGAGATGTGTACATGTCGACAGTCAGGCTTACTCAAGTGAAGCAATCGTACAAGGCTATATATAGCAGGTACAGGTGACCAAAAATTTTCAATTAAATATGGCGGAATCAAATATATATGGCGGACAAGGCGTACAGGAATGTAGTAAGTCGTACAAAGATGAAAAATGATGGCTTTTTAAGAGTTCATGTCAGCTTTAATATGCTTAAGATAAAGAGAATTAAGAATTAAAAATCAAAAAAATATATATCACACCTTCATTCTGGCTGCTTTCGTGGTCTAACTCTTGTTTTCTGCTTTGTACAACTCCATATGTCTTCTTCCTCCTTTTCTGTGGACTTTCCTCTGTTTCACTGATATCTTCTTGAGTTTGTCTGTGTCTCCTTGACCTGCTAGGTTTTGCCAGCTTTTTATATGCTCTAGACTTCACAGAAGACTGTCGAGATGTCCCTTCTCCTAAACGCAAAAACACAGAATAGTCCTCATCACGCTCACCATCCGACTCCGTCTCTGGGGCGTGTTTTCGTGGGTGGAGGGAAGCTTTTCTTTTATCCTGATAGGTAATTAGAGCTTTTGTAATGCTTGGTACTAAGTCCTGCTGAATAACATCCAAGGATTTAGCAGGCATATCTGTCTCATTCTCGCCACGGGCAATATTTTTATGGTTCTCCATGGCAACCTTCATGTGATGATAATGTTGATGGACCGCTGCCAACTGTTCTAAGACGTCGGTGGAGAACAAATCGTACAGCATGCTCTGCTCCTCTTTAAATTCCTCACGAGTGGAAGCATCATCCACGACAGTATCACTCTTATTAGGGTACACATGGGATTCTGTTGCACAAAATTCAAATGCGTCAAAGTACCTCAACTTATGAAAAATAAATTCAACATCTAAATGTTCTTGTGAATGAGCTTCATTCTGGAATTCCAATATTTGAATCCAAGTGTCTGAGGTAACGCGAATTTTTCGCTTTCTAATGGTTGGTTGTATAGTGTATATTCCAAACAAGATATACAAAGCACCGACTCGAATCTGAAAACTGTATGGAGGTAAATAAAATTTTAATGCAATCTTTAAACACTCGTCTATGAAGTCCTGTAATTCTCCTTCATCTTGGCGCCCTGCGTAAATCTGGGAAAATTTCATGTCTCTCCAAATTGTAGAGAATTCTTCATATCTAACGGAGTCCGTTTCTGTAAACCGTTTTAATAGGGCTTCATAATCTGTCCTAACCCCCTTTCCTGGATTGTATATAGGCTTCATTGTCTTTAAACAGCGCTAAGCTTACACTAAAAACTTAAAAATACTTCGACTCTGTAGTCTACTTTCTCTTTTACCTTTTGCTGTTACATTTTTAGTAAGTTGTTCCAAAGTAAATTCGTGTATAGAAAATATAGTTAAACTGTTTTGACTAAGGCATTTATAAACAATACACTGATAAAGTCAGATACAATATACAACATATACATAAAGAAGAGTAATTCTCCCATTTAGTATATTGGTGGTATTTTTAAGATTTATAGGCATAAACATTAAAGTAGTAGATTAATTAAAATGTAACTGAATTATTAATAGCAATAAAACTTAATAGCGATTATTTAGCACATAGGCCTACCGTTTCGTGATTGAGTTCGACTTTCCACTCGGCGGGCAGAGTTTTGACGCTGTTTACGGAGCTAAATGAAAAACAAGACATGCATGCCATATATGGTTGAGTAGATAAATTATCATAGAAGACAATGGTAAAAAAAAAAGTTTGCCAGTGCATTTAATCTGAAAGTGTAGATGATTGCGTTTCTGAACAAGACATGCATGCAGGGGCATATATGGTTGGGGGCCTGGCCCCCCACTTTTTTCCCAACCTTACCTGTACTATAGCAAATGTTAATTGAAAACCTGGTTGCCCCAGTTTTAGAATGTACCGAAAATGAAGTATTAAATTGGTACTGAAAGTAGTTGATGCCAAAAAGTGCATTTAATCCCCACCACCACCACCACGAAATAGGATATATATATTTTTCCCTGCGCTTGTCAACTTTTTCAGGTAAGTAAAAAAAAATTTTCTCCGGCTGGCCCCCCCCACTTTCAAAAACGATGCTACGCCACTGGTGTAAATCGGAGTTAGATACCTTGTGTTATTATTATACTATAGGTTAAAAATTTATTTCCGAAACAAATGCCTGTGGATAAAACAAGCTAATTTTCCCCATCATGTGCGCACTTAATGTTTTATTATTTTGTTGAAAAGAAGTACTGTTGCTTTACAATAAAAAAAAAGAAGACAAAATCGGGCGCGGAACTTTTTTTACAGGGGTGGGGGGTCCAACAATATTATCAGATGACAGACTCATACAGCCGGTGTAATAGTTTTGACATGTTTTAAACAGACTCAATCAACGCGCGATAATAAACTCCTCAAACCTTTATAAAAATTGGAGGTAGGAGAAATTAAGACAGTTTCCTTAATTTTTTTTTTTTAATACAGAAACCTTTTAACTCTGAAAATCCCATGCGGAGCACCCCTCCCTCTCCCGACCACCACCACCAAAGAAAAATAAATAAATACAAGATGTGTTTGTGAAACACTATGCGCCCGGCGACAAAAAAGTTCTAAAAAGCAATTTTTAGCAAATGGGTCTCGGTCAAGGTCACACAATCATTATCCTTGTTGTCAGTTGAAAGTGTTTAATTAGTGGAGTATGCATACCAAATATGAAGTCTTATCTCTCACGGTTCAAGAGTTATGGCGAAAATTAAAAAAAAAGAAGCTATTTTTAGCATATAGGCTACAGTCAAGGTCACAAGATCATTGACCTTGGTGTTAGTTGAAAGTGCTTAATTAGTGGAGTATGCAACCAAGTAAAGTCTATTTTTAAAAGGTATGGCATTCATATTTTTAGTGTAAAGGTCACAGTCAAGGTCACAACGTCATTGACCTTGGTGTCGCTTGAAAGTGTTTAATTAGTGGAGTATGCATGCCAAAGATGAAGTCTCTATCTCTCACAGTTCAAAAGTTATGTCGAAGGTTAAAGTTAACAACAGACAGACAAACAGATAAACAGACAGACGAACAGATAAACAGACAAACAGACAGACAGGACAAAAACAATATGCGCCCCGAATAAATTCGGACGCATAAAGATTAATTTGCCACCATGTATGCTATCTAGCCATAGCTATCGTTCGATATTGAATCCATAAATCGTTATAATTAAAGGAGATGTGTATGGCACGCCAAATTCACAAAAATGAGATAAACCTAGTTTCACATTTGATAAAATAGGTTTATCGACTGTAAACTATAGTTTACAAACCGTAAACTATAGTTAACGATTCGTTAAGTATAGTTTTCATCTGTAAAACTATATTTAACGGTTGTTAACTATAGTTTACGAATGATAATCTCTGTAATAGGCGTTAACAATAGATTTTGTTGATAAACATAGATTCACGTTTGTAAACTATAGTTTACAATCGTAAACTATACTTAAGAGTTGTTAATCATAGTTTCACAAATCGTGAAACTATATTTATTAGATCCTTAACTATAGTTAACGGTTTGTAAACTATAGTTTACAAATCGTGAAACTGTATTTATCAGATAATCTATGTTTTGCAATCGCAAATGATTGTTTTCAGTGTTAAGTATAGTTTACGGTTGTGAAACATAGATTATCGCGTTAACTATGGTTTACGGATGTAAAATATAGATTAACGTTGTTAACTATAGTTTACAGTCCGTGAACTATAGTTTACAACCGATAAACCTAGTTTATCGACTGTGAAACTAGTTTAGCTCATTTTTGTGAATTTGGCGTGCCATAGATGTTGACAAAATGATACATGGGCAATATGCCTATCCATACGCCCGCTTTCTTTCTTTCATCAACAATCTGGCTCTCCCTATTGCACACGTCAACAATTTCTTAATGGAATAAAAATTGATTTTCAGACAAAGAAAAATGACTTTATTTACACCTCTGTATACAGAAGCGCCAGATTGTGTGTTTGTTTAATGATGTTATAATGGCTTGCGTACGGTTAGGGTGAACGTGAAATATTGTTTTGTCAACTTGACAACTTGCGGTGTGCACATGCACGTCAAGGCTCTTATACATTTTCCTTTGTCTGTCTTTAATTTTCTGTAAATAATATTAATGTCGTTATTAGAATGAGTAATATTTAACATACGCACTCCATGTTTTTGCATAATTTTTGTGAACTCTACGATATTTTATTTTATCAACAACAAATATAATTGCACGTATAAATATAATGCTCGGATTGAAAATACATTAAAAAGACATCTCTGAAACGACTTGAACAATTAAGGTAAGTTAGAATTTCTTCCTTTCTGCTTTTCAGCTAAAAAAAAATTTAAAATTTAAGCCATATGCATTGATGTAATGTTTTTTCTCAAACCTTTTTCTTTTCTTTTGCAGAATCGAGATGACCAAGTACTTATTTTTATATATAATAACTTGTCTAATAATGTTTGGTAAGAATTTTATTTATTGTTTTGTAAGCTTATTATAATTCATTATCTTTTATTAAGATCCTTAATTGATAAGATTTAAAGTAGTCCGATCCTTAAACATGTCTTAAAAATCAAAAGTTGGGTAATTGAAAGTACTCCCAAAATGTTTCTGAATCCTCAGAGTTTACTCATGATATTTTTTCAAAGTTCTTCATTATTTTATTTATGTACTTCATGGGGGTAGAAATTTCTTTTTTTTTTTTTTCAAGACCGTATAGAAGTATTCAAAGACTCTTGGATAATACCAAGATGCAAAAAAGATTTTTTTTTTTTAAAAAAGGATGTTAATCTTAAGTATAATTTTAAGCACTTGTTAAATAAATGGCATCCATTCTATACTATGTAATTCAAAACCCTGAAGTTTCTTTATCTCCCATACCATCTTGTAGTACGTGAAGTGACGGGGAATATGGAGGCGGTCAGCTATTGTTTTGAGCTTCTCTTTGGAATGGGTATACACTATGATCACTTTTGTGAGGAGTATGGCGACATCTGTGACATATTTTGCTATAAATAAATTCCTCAACTATATGTTAACTAGGTAAGAAGTAGAGAATAATTTGGTCAAAATATCTATTTGAAAGATCTATTTAATAAAAAATAATTAATTTGATCAAAAATGCTAAATATGAAAGCCGTGTTTCTTAACATTTTACATGCTCTTTTTTTCAGTTTGATTCTTCTATTCGTGTCAGAAGACTGTAATAATTGTACAAGCAGTAGAAATAAAAGTCCCAGACAACGTGCATTTGTTTTTTTTATTTTGGAAACAAGATCAGAAGCCATACATAAGTTTTAAAATTTTCTCCTTCAAATACTAGTCCATGTATTATTATACCCCCCGCTTGAAAAGCGGGAGGGTATATATAGTAATCGTTAATTCCGTCCGTCTGTACGTCTGTCCGTCCGTTCGTCTGTTACGCTCTAGGGTACCCATGCATCTCTTATCCGCAACTCCTCTTATACCACTGAGTGAAATTTAATGAAACTTTCACAGAATCTTTATTACATATTGCCATTGTACACCTCCTATTTTACTTTTTGATCAGACACATATTTTGGGTTTCCCGGCCACGCCAAAACATGGACTTTGTCATCAGTTATAACGATATGGGAGGCGGGGGGTATCATTTAGTGAGCTCATTGCTCACAGTACCTCTAGTTTAAATGTACAAACATATCTATATTTCTTTTAGTCAGCAGTCCGTAATAGCAAAGTAAAAGGAAGCGGATTCGGTTTACAGTTCTCCTGATAATTAAAATTAAACTAGTTCTGGTTACAATTCATAACATTTTAAAACTATACCGGGTATTTAGAATAAAAATGCTAGGTGCAGTGACATATATAGCATCGATCGTTTTTGAAAAGGGGGGGGGGCAGTGAAAAATTAACCTACCTGAAAAAAAACTTGTCAAGCCAAAATAGAAAAAAACAACAACAAACAAACGAACTCGAAAATCCTATTTCGGGGTGTAAAGGTATAACAATGTTTTTAAACAAATGTTTCTCGACGAGTCAGATTCAAGTAATTTACCTGAAAGTATATAAAATAAGTTGTTATACCTTTAAAAAATTGTTCCTATATAAATGTATACGAAAAAAGTCTAACATTTCAAATGTTTTGCTGAGCGGGCATAAAAAATCGATGTTTGACCGCTGAGTGAGATGTTGGACAGGTCGATGAGATGTTGGACCGCTTATGTCACAGAATGGGCGGAGCTTAATCTCATTTTCATACGTTGTTAATCAACAGCGAGGAACCTGCGTTTACATCACTAAAGACAGTACAAAATACATGTACATATATGTAAAAAAAATTTAAATGAAAGGTATAACAAAACATTTATTGGCTATGTTCTCGGGCAAAATGCATTTTGTCGTCCCTCGAACCAAACTGTCTGCTGCCTCCGTCCTAACGGTATAGTCAGACAGTTTGGTTTTTGGGTCCGACGAAACAAATCTTGCCCTCTAGCTGCAGAACTGTAGCTCTCCGAAAAATGTATTGACAGACAGGATTGTCAATATATTTTTTCGGAGAGCTACAGTTCTGCAGCTACTTGCCCTCGAACTGGATCACTAAATGTATAACATCAGACATATTCACGACAAAGGTAACCTAAGTAAAACCAAACATTATCTGTACCGACTCTCTGCGAATCAACAGGAGAAAATAATTGTAGTTCCACATCCGGTTTTAAATGTTTCCGGCCCGCTTTACTATACAATCCATAGATAATTTGCTGATCCGAGTTCATTATTTTAAGATTTAAGAAGAATTCGACAGATCTTTTATATAATTTTTCAAACTTCAGAAAAATATTTTTGGTCGCTACTAACATGCCTCCTCCTACCCAAACCTCGTTTTCTTTGAATATAGACTCCATAGATATATTGCTACTAAATTCATTAATTTTGGTCATACAGAGTCGGCCTTTGTCTATATATGGCGGTGGATTTAGTCGAAAATAATGCTCGTCACAGACGATATCACGAAAGTAGCCAATATCTAGCCATGCGTAAAACTCTGTACGAAAAATATCCCTCTTCAAGGCGTCTGCAACAACGGCGAACTTAGTGTGCTGACATGCAGAATATTCCGGAAGTACCGTATTAGGGTAAAAATTTGGATAGTCTGGCTGTTCAAACACTGAACTAATATTGTTTACGATTTGGAAAGACCAGAATTTTCGCCGTTCTATAATTATGACTTTGGTTTTATTTGGAAAACTTTCTCGATATTTTTCCATTATCATTTTAAAGTTCAAACAATCGGTGTACACAACCAGCGGGTTGACCATCCTCTGAAATACAGAAGACCAGTCCATGTAATCGATGGCCGAGTATTCGAGTGACCCGTTCCCTTTTCGAAAACTCCCGAGGTCCCAGAATGCTGTTATGATTGTCATATTTTCGTGTATTTTTATCGTCATCTCTGTGGTCAATCTCTGTTTCCCAAATATTTGATATTTCATCTGAAATTGTGAAAAATATTAACATGTTAAAATCGAGTTTTACATAAGGAGTGAAAAGGGCCATATAGTTTTTACTGTAAAGGAGTAATATTGAATTATTTCATCATACCCAGGTGAGATTTGCCCGTAAGCTACATTTACTGGTGACGTTTACAAGAATCACCATAGAAACAGTGAAGAGAGCGACACACCATAGCAATGTTTTTCTGGATTTCTGGACTTGCTTCCACATTCAGTCTGCGAAATAGTACAAATATACTCAGCATGTCAAATTCAGTATAAGAACGCCTAACAATTGATATAAAACATTACAATCCAATGATAGGTTATATCAGATAACAAGGTCGTTATAACTACCATGGAATTTATGAAATGACGACGTTAACCAGGGTTGTTGAAGTCCCTGTAACATCAACGTATCTGTCAATAGCCTGCGACGCTTACAAATTGATCGAACTCGGAATTTGCTTTTGAGTAGCGAATAAATTGGTGGTATGAACGTTATTTACAAAGTTTTTTAGTGATGACAGGGTTCGGAGTGATACCTGGTTGCCAGGTATGAAATTTACTAACCAGGTGTCATTCCGAACTCTGTCACTTTCTAAAAAAAAACGTTGTAATTAACGTTAATACCCACAAGTTGTCAAATGTAATACATGAATGTGAATATCAACGACTAAAGTAGCATATTTTAAAATTAGTAGTTTTAAACTTACTTACTGATCATAAATTTATACTGAGAAAATTCAAATCGCTATATACTCCTCACAGTCGGACTGATAATTGTGAATACGCCAAGCGATAATTATGAGTAACTACAAATATACATATATAGCCTTAAGCAATCTGAATGAATTGGAAAGATATATATATCATTAATGAGCATATGTTACAATAAACATGAGGGAACCGCAGTAAACAACATTTTATAGGATTTAGACAGAAGATTTACATACGTTTAGAAATTAGGAAATTTTTTATGCCCCCGTAATCGAAGATCAAGTTTTTGCCCTGTCCGTCCGCCTATCTGTCTGTTGTCCGGAAAAAATTGAACCTTGACCATTACTTTTGAGTGCATGGAGCTATAGATTTCATATTTCACAGGTGTATTCCTTGTGACAAGACCTTTCTTAGCTAGGGTACCGCCAAATTTTACCTTGTGACCTTTGAATTTGACCCATTTTTATCCAGCCGTGGCCATTGATTTGAACCAGTGGTGTAGTTGCTTTTATATTTCAAGTGCATTCATTGTAAAAAGACCTTTTATGAATATAAATAACTTTTACCTTGGGGTTTGACAAACTTAAAATTATTCTTGGTAATAACTTTTGAACAGTTAGTACTGTTCATACTAGTATTTCACAGATGCATTTTTTGTGACGATGCATTCCTTTGGATACCAAGAATTTTGTTTTCGGCCTTGACCCAGGAGTTGATTTGCATACATTTAAAGTTTCCAACATCTTTCTCGGTTATAACTACAAACAAGGTAACGGCTTTATAACCCCATAAAGCGATTTGCTCATCACGTGATGGAACTGCATGCTTTTTCGCTGCTTTTTGCTTAGTTATACACCTGGCGAGGATGCTGAGATTTCTTATTATTGGTTATTGTCCCCCGCTTTCCCGAAAGCGAGGGGACATTAAATCTCACTCGTTCGTCAGTCTGTAGCTGTCTGTCACAAAAACTTTAACCTTGTCCATAACTTTTGATTTAGTGAAGGTATGAATTTTATATTTCACAGGTGCATTTCTTAGGACAAGACCTTTCTTTGAATACCACTAAATTTGACCTTATGACCTTGGAGTTTGACCCACTTTTACACACAAATTCCAAACTCTAACTTTGACCATTACTTTTCAACGGTACTAGGACTTTCATATTTCACATATATATTCTTTGTGGCATTCCATTCATTGAATACCGACAACTTTGACCTTGACCTTGGAAATTTCCATACTTATGAAAAAACTTTAACCTTGGCCATAACTTTTGAACGGTAGGTACTAGGACTTTCATTCTGTATACATTCAATCCTTGTGAGAAGACCTTTTACTGGATACAATCAACTTTGACCTTTTGACCTTGGAGATATCCGTACTTACAAAAAAAAAAAAACAACTTTAACCTTGACCATCATTTTTGAATGGTAAGGGCTAGGACATATGTAATTCCTGTGGCAAGACCTTTTATAGGATACCAACAACTTTGACCTTTTGACCTTGACCTTTGAGATTTTTGTACTTATGGAAAAACTTTAACCTTGACCATTTCTTTTGAACGGTAAAGGCTAGGGCTTTCATACTTCACATATGTAATCCTTGTGGCAAGACCTTATATACGATACCAACAACTTTGACCTTTTGACCTTTGAGATTTTTGTATTTATAAAAAATTAACCTTGACCATAACCTTTGGATGATAAAGGCTAGGGTTTTCACACTTCACATATGTATTCCTTGTGAGAAGACCTTTAACCCTTTGACTTTGGCCTTCTTTTTAAAAAACTTTAACCCTGGCCATACCTTTTGAACTGTTAGGGGTAGGACTTTCATACCTCACATATGTAATACTTGTAACAAGACCTTTCTTAAGAAACCCAAAACTTTGACCTTTGACCTACTTTTCAAAAACTTATCCCTGGCCATAATTTTTGAACAGGTAATGTTTGGGCTTTCATACTGCACATTCGTACTTTACGTGAGAAGACCCTACTTTGGGTACCAATATATTTAATTTGCATTTAAGAAAAGTTTAATCTTCGCTATGTTGCCATATGGGGGCATCAGTGTCTCACAAACACATCTTTTTCCTTATAAATTTTGATTGAGAAGAGATAAAATTTTTATATTTTTTGAGATGTGCATTACCTATTTCAAGATATTTGCTATGCTATGAATTCTGGCCCCTTGACTTTCACGATTGACCTTACTTTTCAAAGAAATAAACTTCGGTGATAATTTCTAAATGACATCTGCTAGGGCGTTCATATTTTACAAAATATGCCATAAAAATGACATCTCATCCACAAAGACACCGAAAGCAGGGGGCCACAATTCTTTGAATTTGCTTGTTTTTATTGTATCGAAGTTCAGGGAAATAATAATATGAGGAATTACTGTCTGTCTGGTTTTTTAATTTTATGATGATCAAACCAAACACTTTACATCTTCAGCATTTATGCAAATTATCGGCACTAGCAAAATTTATTGATCACAATATAAAACCAAAAATCTAGACAGTTACTCCTTATTTAAAACAAGAGACCCATGAGCCACATCGCTCACCTGAGTACTGTGGCTAGCATAAAAGCAGACATTAGTTTATTTTTGAAAAGTAGTCCCAACCATTCCTTAAAGGGGAGAGGGTATGATTTGCACAAACTTGAATCTACACTACCTAAGAATGCTTCCATATAAATACATGTATGACCAATCATGGCTTTGATATTCTTGAGAAGATTTTTACTATATATTTCTATTTTAAACTTTGATTGGCCAGTATGGCCCCGTCCAATCCCCGGGAACAAATTTGATTCTACACAAACCGAGGATGTTCCATAAAAATATACTCAATCATGGCTTTGCTAATCTTGAGAAGAAGATTTTTAAAGAATTTTCCTATATATTTCTATGTAAAACTTTAGTCGGTCATTGTGGCCCCGCCCTACCCCTGGAGGTCATGATTTGAACAAACTTGAATCTACACTACCTGAGGATGCTTCCATATAAAAATGACCAATCATGGCTTTGTTATTCTTGAGAAGAAGATTATTAAAGAATTTCCCTATATATTTCAATCTACTAGTATGTAAAACTTTGGTCGACCATTGTGGGGGGGGGGGATAGGTGTTCTGTCCTCAAACACCTGTGATACCAACTTACAGATCCGCGTTTTCAAGTTCGGACCCCCCTCTGGATCCGCGCATGGAGACTTTTGAAAACAATCTAGAATTCATAACAGAACAGTTATGAATCATTTTTCATGATTTTTGATAAATCAACATTCAGAATAAAGAAATACAAGAAATGTGTCATCAGACCTATTAAGAGGTCCATGGGTAACATGAAAATTTAGCTTAAACAAGAGGCCCATAGGCTTTATAGGTCACCAGAGTATCATGTAACAACTTTTAAACAATTGAATTTGGTAAAAAAAAATGTGTTTTAAACCAAAAGCCATGAATTTCACAATTTTGAAAGAAGCACCATTGTTTATCTTAACTATACACTTAGCATGCTTACTTTATTTACTTAATACCCAGAGGTAGATCAGAGTAACAAAGAGAAATGCATTTCCGCTTCATAACCAGTTGTGCACCTACCCCACAGGAACCAATGACGGTGGGGCCACATATTTCAATGGAAATTTTATCATAAATTTTATTTCATTATAAACTAGAACTGTCCAATAGGGACAAATACCCCCGCTGTGTTTTTTCAGAGTAGGTGCCAATTCACAAATATTTTATGGATCTATTAAAAGGTGTTTACTATTGTCTTAAAACAAATCAAGTGAAAATATAATTGCGGTGAAAATATAATTGCATGCTCATTAATTTTTTTCAGTTTATGAATCTAAGGTGCAACCAAATAAAACATCAATACTAATACACTGTAACAGTTTTTTTTTTTAATTTCATTAAAAAAAGAAATTGCAATTAATTGTCATGCTACGCCGGAAAATAATTGTTGCAAAAAGAAATATTATACAGAATCAAATTAATCTAAACTTTATATCAAATTCATTTTAAAAATAATAAAGTGCCCAACACAGCATGATACTCCATTCAAATATTGTTCATTCAATTAATATAAACAGTTTTGAATGTGAGGAAATCATGGCAACCTTTAAAAGGATTTCCATAATTTTTTTTTTCCTTTTGATATTTGTTTAAACATCTCCTGTGGTGTAAGCATTAATTATAACAAATAATCATCAAATGGTTGCATTATAGCTTGACAAATGCTCCTCCCCCACAAACAAACACATATGCATGTATCTTTCATGTGGGACATGATGCTCTGAAATTTGTAACTTGATATTTTAATTTTTTAAAAATATATCAATTTAACTAATTAGTATTAAAAACTTAATCTATAACAAATTGATTTTAGAAATAGAAGGCTGGCCATCAAATGACATATGCTATTTAAACTGACCAGCAGTTCCTCTGTCTAATTCCCAAAGGACCTTAATCAGAGATAACAGCTAACAGAAATGATTGAGAGAGCTAGCTTTCTACATTGAACTCATTAATTAATCTTTGACTGGATGCATGTCCACTGATAAATGCCAAGGGATGCAATTTTCTGTTATCAAAATTCTCCTTGACCAGTGCTTGATAATTATACCCTTGGGAGAGGTAGATTATCTCTTATAACATTTGATATGGATTGCTGTAAAGTATATAATGAAAATATATTATTTTCTTAATTTAACATTTTTTAAACAGGGATACAGAAACACTCTTACATTTTTGGGATTGTGTAATTCAATAGTAAAAGACAGGTTTCTTTTTAAAATTTCACTTAAATTAAAGGTCACGGTGACCTTAAAATAGGTCGTGACACACCTTCTACCCAAGATGCATAAACTGTTCAAGTTTGATGATTGTCAGTCTAATAGTTTTCTAGTTATGAGCCAAACAAAACCATAAAATAAAAAAGAAAAAACACCTGTAAAATGCAGAAAAATTACCCAATCATGATGAAAATACCAGGTGCACAACTTCATATGGTGAATAATAAGTGTACAAATTTTCAGACAAATCCATCCAATAGTTTCTGAGAAACGGTCCGGACAAAATCTTGTCTACAGACAGACAGACAGACAGACGGACAGACGGACATGCTGATTCCAATATACCCCCCTAAACTTCGTTTGCGGGGGTATAATGATTGATTAATACCAAAGAGCAGATTTCAAAGCATTAGTTTATTTTCAGACTATGTTACCCCCTCCCGTGGTACCCCTGACCCAAGGGCCCTGAAATTGACCATTTTGGAAGAGGCACATTTCTTCATCATAAATATGTACTTAGATCATTGGCATAATTCCCAGGAGCAATAAAGGAAAAAAGATTTCCAAAGAATTCATGCATTTTCACAATATAAGATCATTAAAGCCTCCCCCCTAATGCCAGAACCCCTGAAGCAGGGGCCATGAAATTCACAATTGCGAAGAAGCATCCTTCCTCATCATAACAGGGTACGTAGTTCATTGGTTTAATAGGAGCAGAGAAGAAGACTTAAAGAATTAATGCATTTTCACTATATAATCAATAGAGCCCAGCCCTAACACAGGAACTCCCCACCAAGCGGCCATGAAATTCACAATTTTGGAAGAGGCAGCCTTATTCAACATAACTATGTACTTGGTTGGTTTATTTAATGCCCAGGAGCAGAGAAAAAGATTTTCAAAGAAATAATGCTATTTCACTATATAATCTATTTAGCCCCGCCCTAGCACTAGAACCCCTGACCCTAGGGTCATGAATTTCACAATTTTGGTAGAGGACTCAATGCTCATTACAATCATGCCAACGGTTAGACTGCTTGATGTCCTGGGGTAAAGAAGAAGATTTTTAAAGATTGCATTAATTCTCATGGTTTAGGCCCCATCCCTCAGGCCCCAAGGGGGCAGGGAAATCAAATTCAAATTTTTGTTCCCCTTCACCCAATAATGCTTTGTGCCAGAATTGGTTGAGCGATTGTAGAGAAGAATCTGAAAATGTTCAAATGTTAAGACACGACACATGAAGGACGAAAACAGATAGCAATAGGTCATCTGAGTTTACTCAGGTGACCTAAAAAGCATTAAAAAGTTTACGCTATTAGGAAAATGTTTCCTTTTCCTTTATTACATGTACAAGAACTCAGTTCATCAACTGTGCAATAGCTCTAAAATATCATTTACTGCAACCATACACATGCATCTAAAATTGTTGCAAATTATAAATCAAGATGTGTTTGTAAAACACCGGTTTCCCCGTATGGAAACTAGGTTGAACTTTCTCAAACGCAAATCAAATATGTTGGTACCCAAAGTAAAGTCTTCTTACAAGAAATACACTTGTTAAAAATGAAAGCCCTCGCACCTCCTGTTCAAAAGAAATGGCCAAGGTTAAATTTTTTTTTAAGTAGGCCAAATTTCAAGGTCAAAGGGTCAAATTTGTTGGTACATTGTATGTAAAGGAAGGCCTTGTCACAAAAATTACAGTGTGAAGTATGAAAGCCCTAACCCTAACTGTTTAAAACTTATATCCAAGGTTAAAGTTTTTTTTAAGTTGGTCAAACTACTATAGGTCAAGGTCAAAGTTGTTGATTTCAAATGAAAGGTCTTGTCACAAGGATTACATTTGTGAAGAATGAAAGGCCTTAGTCTCCACTGTTCAAAAGTTAGGGCCGTGGTTAAAATTTTGTTAAACTGGTTCAGACTCCAAAGTCACAAGGTAAAATTTGATGGTACATATGTAACATATCGTATAAAGGCAATTAACACGAAAAGAGTGAAATGGCTGTGATTTATTTGAAGGGGGGAGCATATTTTTCTGATTATGCCCACAGTGGACTTTACAGATTAGTCACACATTTATGAAAAAAGTGTATTAGCTTTAACAACATTAAAAAAGAAGGTTTGTATATCTAACCCATTGTACATATACATGTATAACATATCGTATCAAGGCAAATAACACGAAAAGAGTGAAATGGCTATGATTTATTTGAAAGGGGCGGGGGGCATATTTTCCTGATTATGCCCACAGTGGACTTTACAGATTAGTTACACATTCATGAAGAGAGTTGAATGTATATAATACAGAAATTGTAATAATATCTACTGGCCTTTTTGATGAACCATTTGATTAAGACTTTCCCTCGGTGAAAAACCTAGGTGGATTGAAATGCTTTCATGAAAGTTGCATTTCAATCCAATGTTTTCTCAGCCGTCTGCAATACACTCAATGCCGACATCGGAGAAAACATCAATGTTTTCTCGGCCGTCCGCGTTTTATACGACGCGGACGGCCGAAAAAACATTGGATTGAAATTCAAATTTCAAACTGCATTTCAATCCACTTCCGTAAACCGAAATTCTTTATGCCTTTTCTTGGGAATATTCTATTAAATAAGTGTTTTAGCTTTAACGACATTAAAAAAGAAGGTTTTTTTATATCAAACCCATTGTACATATACATGTATACATGTACCTAGAGAAAGGTCTTGTCAATAGGAATAAACGTGAAATATGAAAGCCAAATTCTCAACCAATCAAAAATGAAAGAAAAAGTGAGCAAGCTCACATACCCCACGCTCCCCCAAAACTCAAAGTGCTGAAAATCCCGGAAAAAATGAAAGAATCGGAATTTCCCGGTAATATGCACATCTACACATTGTGTCCTAAATATCTGCAAAGTTTGATGAAATTCTGTGCAGCGGTTTATGAGGAGTTGCGCTGACAAACTGTTCATCACTATATTCAAGATATCCCCAAAAATCTAAGTTGTAAAGTGCGGAAATTCCCAGAAAAATAAAGGATTCGGAATTTCCTGGTAAAATGCACATCTATACATTGTGTCTTAAATATCTGCCAAGTCTGACGAAATTCTGTGCAGCGGTTTATGAGGGGTCGTACTGACAAAATGTTCATCTGTATATTCAAGGTATGGCCAAAAATCTAAGTTGAAAAGTGTGGAAATTCTAAGAAAAAATAAAGGAATCGGAATTTCCTGGTAATATGCACATCTACACATTGTGTCCTAAATACCTGCAAAGTTTGACGAAATTCTATGCAGCGGTTTATGAGGAGTTGTGCTGACAAACTGTATAAAAGGTATGGCCAAAAACCTAAGTTTTTAGTGCGGAAATTCCCGGAAAAAATAAAGAATCGAAATTTCCTGGTAATATGCACATCTACATATTGTGTCCTAAATATCTGCAAAGTTTGACGAAATTCTGTGCAGCGATTTATGAGGAGTTGCACTGACAAACTGTTCATCTCTATATTCAAGGTATGGCCAAATGCCTAAGTTGAAAAGTGCGGAAATTCCCGGAAAAAATAATGGAATCGGGATTTCCTGGTAATAAGCACATGTACACATTGTGTCCTAAATACCTGCAAAGTTTGACGAAATTCTGTGCAGGGGTTTATGAGGAGTTGCGCTGACAAAAAAACAAGAGGCCCAGGGGCCACAGCGCTCACCTGAGCACATTGGCTAGGAAAAAGCACATATCAGATCAGAACTGAAAGTTTACTGGGGGGGGGGGGGGGGGCTTGAATTTTAACCCCCCAAGGGGTTCATGATTTGAACAAACTAGAATCTACACTACCTGAAGATGTTTTCCATATTAATTAGTGATGGGGAATCGGAAATAAATCAGAATCGATAATCGGTAATAATCGGCTGGGCATAATCGATTAATAATCGATCATAATCGGAATTTTGAACTTTAATGAAATTAATATAGAAAAGTTAAAACTTATTCAGATTTCTGTCAGACTTTTACAAAAAAAAAACCATTTACTTACATAAAATATTCAAAGATGTTAATTGAAATTTCTTTTTTAAAAAGTGGAAAATAATATTTTGTTTACTTTAAACAATATAGGACTATTGAAACAGAAAGGGATTTTTTTTATCAAGTCCATGTAATGGGTATTTTACTGATATTAGCCCACCTTTCATTTAATACATGTAGCCTACGTATTTATTTCTTAAAATTAGTTTTAATTAGTTAAAATTGCAAGTTTTAAAAGTAAGTATCCAGAAGTTAGACTTGTGTTTATGATTATAATTAAAATAAAGATTGACTAGACTAATTATGTTTTCCTTTACTTGCAATATAACCGTTTCCTGGTATTAGTCTAACCCCATATTTAATCATGGCGGTAAAAGTATCAACAAGACACGGGATCCTTCCATGTTTTCAACATTCATCACTACTTTTATGCTCTTTGCACTTGGATTTGGTAATAAAATTAAAGTATAACAAATTTATGTTTTGTTAGCGATGTCGGCGACATTTATTTTATAATCGATTAGTAGCATCGAAGAGCTTCTAACGACCGACAATCGATTGTCGCCGACAATCGTTCCATCACTAATATTAATATCACTAATCATAGCTTTGAAGTACTTGAAAAGAAGATTTTTAAAGGTTTCCCTATAAATCCCTATGTAAAACTTGGGTCGGCCATTTTGGCTCCACTCTAGCCCTGGGGGTCATGATTTGAACAAACTTGAATATACACAATCTGACAATGATTCCATGAGTTTCATCTCTCCTGGCCAAGTGGTTCTTGAGAAGAAGATTTTTAAAGATTTTTCCTATATCTTTCAATGTAAAACTTGGGTCGGCCATTTTGGCCCCACCCTAGCCCCGGGGGTCATGATTTGAACAAACTTGAATGTACACTACCTGAGGATGATTCCACATGAGTTTCATCTTTCCTGGCCCAGTGGTTCTTGAGAATAAGATTTTTAAAGATTTTTCCTATATCTTCCTATGTAAAACTTGGGTTGGCCATTTTGGCCCCACTCTAGCCCCGGGGGCCATGATTTGAACAAACTTGAATCTACACTACCTGAAGATGGTTCCATATTAATATCACTAATCATAGCTTTGAAGTACTTGAAAAGAAGATTTTAAAAGGTTTCCCTATAAATCCCTATGTAAAACTTGGGTCGGCCATTTTGGCTCCACCCTAGCCCTGGGGGTCATGATTTGAACAAACTTGAATCTACACTACCTGAAGATGGTTCCACATGAATGTCATCTCTCCTGGCCCAGTTGTTCTTGAGAAGAAGATTTTTAAAGATTTTTCCTATATCTTCCTATGTAAAACTTGGGTTGGCCATTTTGGCCCCACCCTTGCCCTGGGGGTCATGATTTGAACAAACTTGAATCTACACTACCTGAGGATGATTCCACATGAGTTTCATCTTTCCTGGCCCAGTGGTTCTTGAGAAGAAGATTTTTAAAGATTTTTCCTATATCTTCCTATGTAAAACTTGGGTCGGCCACTTTGGCCCCACCCTAGCCCTGGGGGTCATGATTTGAACAAACTTGAATCTACACTACCTGAGGATGATTCCACATGAGTTTCATCTTTCCTGGCCCAGTGGTTCTTGAGAAGAAGATTTTTAAAGATTTTTCCTATATCTTCCTATGTAACACTTGGGTCGGCCATTTTGGCCCCACCCTAGCCCCGGGGGTCATGATTTGAACAAACTTGAATCTACACTACCTGAGGATGATTCCACATGAATTTCATCTTTCCTGGCCCAGTGGTTCTTGAGATGAAGATTTTTAAAGATTTTTCCTATATTTTACTATTTAAAACTTGGGTCAGCCATTTTGGCCCCACCCTAGCCCCGAGGGTCATGATTTGGGCAAACTTGAATCTACACTACCTGATGATGATTCCACATGAGTTTTATCTTTCCTGGCCCAGTGGTTCTTGAGAAGAAGATTTTTAAAGATTTTTCCTATATCTTCCTATGTAAAACTTGGGTCGGCCATTTTGGCCCCACCCTAGCCCCGGGGGTCATGATTTGAACAAACTTGAATGTACACTACCTGAGGATGATTCCACATGAATTTCATCTTTCCTGGCCAAGTGGTTTTTGAGAAGAAGATTTTTTAAAAATGCCATTAATTTTTCTCTAAATCATAATTATCTCCCCTTGAAAAAGGGCGTGGCCCTTCATTTGAACAAACTTGAATCCCCTTTACCCAAGGATGCTTTGTGGCAAGTTTGGTTGAAATTGGCCAAGTGGTTCTTGAGAAGAAGTCGAAAATGTGAAAAGTTTACAACAACGACAACACCGACAACAATGATGACAACTCCGACAACGACAGACAACGGACAAATTGTGATCAGAAAAGCTCACTTGAGCCTTTGGCTCAGGTGAGCTAAAAAGGACTGACTGACTGATTGACTGACTGACTGACACTCTGACGGACGGGTCAAAAACATTATACGTCACGCAACTAGTTGCGTGGGGTATAAAAACATTATACCTCATGCAACTAGTTGTGTGGGGTATAATTATGGACAAAGTAAAAGTTTTTGCGGACAAACAAAGATTAACTGACAGACAGAAGGACAAAGCAAAAACTATATACCTCATAATAAAAATAATGCTAAATCAAAAATGAATCTAAAAATAAAAAACTATAAAATGAAAATAAATATACAATGACCAAATTTGTATATAATGCATCAAAAATTACAAAATAAATTTATATGACCACGAATCATATAAATGCATATATGTAATAGGTAGCAGAATATTTTTTAATGCTCAAACATTTATTCAAGCATGCATTCCAGATATTAGATTGATTGGTTGATTGTATACTGTTTAATGTCCCTCTCCAGAATATTTCACTGATATGCAGATGTCACCATTGCCGGTGAAGGGCTGCAAATTTAGGCCTATGCTCGGCACTTACGGCCTTTCAGCAGGGAGGGATCTTTATCGTGCCCCACACCTGCTGTGACACGGGGCATTAGATATACAGATGCAACATCACAGAGAAAATAGACAATTTTTGGCTATGATAGCAATCCTAAATCCTCCTATTATCAAAGAAGATTATTTACATGCTTGAAAATGGTGATTAACTTTCGGCACAGAAAAAAAATGTAAAACAGAATAATTACAAATTAAAATTTCAAAGCCTAACTTTTAAGACAATAGGCTCATGGGTCATAGAGACAACATACCCTATAAAAGGAAATTTTAGCAGGAGGCAAATTTAGCAATGTCCTCAAAAAATGGTTTTATATTTTTAGCAAGATGCAATTTTAGCAAGTTTAAAATGCTCACTAAAGAAGCTATTACAAATAAAAAGTGAATTAATTTTTAGCGATATTCAATTTTAGCGATCTCAACATCATCGCTAATAATGTCAAAATTACTGTAAACCAACTTTTATTCGCGGCGACTTTATTTCGCGATTTACCAGGGGAAAACTAGTTTGCGACAATTAATTTTCGTGATCAAGCCGATTTTGGATCTGTTATTAGTGTACACAGAGACTTTAAAGACCGATTCACGGCGAGAAATATTCGCGATGACAAGGCTCTCGCGAACTTCGCGAAAATTTCTCGCACGCGAATAAAAGTTGGTTTACAGTAATTCCTCGATGAAATTTCTGCTTATACGGTATCATAAGATTCTCAGGCTATGGCTATTTTAACTTCAGCTACTTAGTCTGAGTGTTGACAAAAATGACTATAGATTGTTGAGACAAAACAAACCAATGTCAAACCATTGCATATCTTATTTTTTTCTGCATCCTATCAGCTTCAAGATAAAGTACATGAACCAGCATTTTATCAGTCTCGTTAATTTGTCTATTTCCTTTTCTGAAATGCTCCGATGAAGTAGATGAAATGCACTGAACACATTCATTACACTTTTGCTAGTGTGGCACTCCTTTATGTCATTTCTAAATCCATCACAGACATTTTATCCAGCTCATAAAATGTTCAAGTCCAACATGATTGATGGCAGACAAATTCAGATGCCTGTAATCTATATTTATTTACGCATTTTTGCTTTGACCTCCAAGTCCTTGATATTCTTCTCCAGCTTCTTATATGACAGCCTCAAGATTGCCTTAAAAGAGGTAAAAAGCATAAAAAATTTGTCAAATTTAGACTTTAATTTCAAACATATAACTTATTACAATGTATTCATGTAAAAAACTTTACTCTTTGATGGCCTTGCTATAGACTCAGGTTTAATGATTCAAACAATCTTTAAGTTAACAAGCAGATTAACTCAACAAACTGTGACCTTACTTTTCTTCATGTATGTAAACAAAATCTGGTCTTCTGCACGGACACTTAAGTTTTTGTTGATAATTATTACTTACAAATTAGTTTAAAGAAATAATATTTCTATCTATCACAGTATGTATATACATGTACATATAATTGTTCTAACCTGTGATAAATCTTTCCAGAACATCTCAAAGACATCGTTATCCAGGACATCAGTTTCCTTTGTAGCATGATCTACTTTGTTTCTATAGATTCTTATTCTCTCCATATCATCTGTTTTCTCATTATCACCAATTTCAGGCTTCTTTATAAAATTCAACCTTTTGTTGGGGATGTTACCATAGTAACAGTAATAGTTGATTTACCAAAGTTTCTCATGTAGCTTTGCCGCAAGTTTATACATCAAGGTGACATCCAGTTGTGAAGATTTAGCAGGTGGTTTCTTTAAAAAATGCCATTTTTCGTTTAAACATGTTGAGAACTATAAAACATAGCAACCAATTTTTGCCTGATTTCAGTTTAGGGTATCAATGACTTTTATCATAGAGAGTTTGGAGAAATTCTGAGACTATGCGTGCCACAGCTCCTATATAAAATTTCAAATCATTACAGAGAATGGCTCTTAATTAATGGAAATGTAACAGGATGAACCTGAATCATTTATTTAACTGAATGGTGACTGAACGGTCTGGAAAGAGTCCTGACTGTGTGAGATCCTGTGGTCTGTAACTTGATCTGAAAAGCCATATTACGTCTGGCTGACAGGTGCTGATCACCAGATCAACCTTGATGCTACAGGTCTCATTTGATCTGCTGATCCATCCCTGTCAACTCAAAGTGATAGGACTCTTCAGATCAAGTTACTGTTATATAATAATTAGGAATGGCAATCAATTGCAGAATTGCTAATCGGTTAACCGCAAAATGTTCCGACAGATTAACCCGTAGTCGTATCAAGATATACATTTTCTTTTTATATACACAAACAGGCTAAAAAGACATTAGAATTTTTATTCTGTTTATTATTTTGATCGTGGAATTTTATGTACAAGAAAATCTTGGATTCGGACATGTCACCAGAGAACAGGTTATTCAAGAACACACTCGACCTCTAGCCCAAACTATACCTTAAGACTACAGTATTTTATATCATTTCACAGATACGGTGGGTTGTGGAGTCAGCCAATGCCAGAATCAAGCAATGGCATTATCTAGGGCACATTCTACCCTCTAACCAAATACCTTACATAGGAGACTTTGTTAGGATTGTATGTGCCATTAGCAATAAGTAAGTATTTATTTGTATGATATATACTTGACATATAATTCACAATCTATAACAAGAAGTCTGTTAGCCAGTGCTCATTAATTTAGTTACCGGTAATGCTTACTAGTAATATCCCCTCTTTAATGTGAATTTGAAATGGACAGATGCACAGATAAATAGGAAGTTGATATCGAATTTGTACAAAAATAAATTCTACCATATGGGATGCCCAAATAAAGAGATTTTGAAAATAAATTGAATAAGTGTTGCTGATTTAAATATAGTTTCTTAATGCATTCTCAGTGTATTAAATGTATATTGTTACTTTCAGATACTTAAACCTCTGGCTTCTGGTGACACTGAGGAGGATCAGGCACTTGGTGCAAAGATGGTTTTTCTATCCAAGCAGGTTAATACCCTTCAACAACATGTAGAGGACAATCATCTAGACCGACAATCTGTCTGTTGGAGTGAGATCGACGATCTGCCTGACTTCCCCCACCTGGACGAGGATCAACTCAGATTCCTCACTTGTGGAATATACCATGCTATGCGAAGGAGCATCTTGACGGCAACTGCAGTATCCAAGTACACAGAGAGGAGCCAGGCCTTCTACGTGTCAAACTACAAAGTAGACATGTATCAGCAAGAAGCTACTTGTTGTGGGTTCAGTTTGATGCCGGTAACATCAAGGCGTGGTACTGTAAGTGCAGGGCTGGGGCTCGTGTTGTGGGCATGTGCTCACATGTTGCCGCAATCCTATGGTACTTAGGATATGCTCGCCATCACAAGGATGAGAGACTGGGTGTGCGGGACTGGGGGGAAGAGGCCACATTGGTGGATATCTCTGATAGTTCTAGGGACAGTGATGAACCAGAGGAGTAAAAGTATGGAGGCCATGGTTGTAACACCTGTAAATAGTATTATTGTAACAGTACAGTTAAGTGATACACAGTTGAAGGAAGGCCAGGGCATATTGCTTTGCTGTTTTGGAAGGGGGGGGGGGCATAAGTGTTTTACAAACACCTCTTGTTTATTTATAAATCAAACCAGCATATAAATATATCTTTTCTCTTTTTAATTTGCTAAAACTAGGTTCATGAGAAGGACGGAAAACTAGCAGCATGTTTTTTTTTTAATTAAAAAAAGTATATTATTAGGATAAATAATTTGCATTACAGAAAATATGCATTGTAGCATGTGTAGTGATATTAATATTGTTCATAATTTGTAAACCATGACAGTGAGTTTCAGTTTTGCACTTGCATTTGATAAGGTATAGAACAATATATAACAACTAGATACGATCTCGTTGCGAGCAACGAGAGGTCTTCCGTCCGATTCAGGAAAAAAAACCCTCGTAAAATCAAGCTGAAAAGTGATTCAAAATTTTGGTCACAAGGAGGATTGAACTCAGGTCGCCAACGTGAATGCACTTTTTTTCTCTTTTATCCCTAACACGCAAACCATTATACTATAATTGGGAGCACTGCTCTAAATATACTTGTGTATACTTTTGCAACAGAACATTTGTCTAAGAATTATAAAAGGCGGACCACTATTCATAATTTCACGCCAAACGCCACGAGTAAATATTCGCGCCTTTTCTTTGGACTGATCTATTAAATACGTGTGATAGCTTCAATGAAATTAAATAAATAAAACGTTCTTATGGCCTTTATTTTATTTCGACGTTAAGAAAGTATATTTAACACGTTGTACACATTACATATCGTATCTAGCCCAGTTACACTAAAGCAGTGAAACGGAAATTAAGTTTCAAGATTGACACTCAATTGCAACGTACTACTACGTGAAAGTCCATGCAATTTTTCACATTTCATGTATCCTTATGTCAGAATGGTTCAATCAAACGCTCAGCTGCCTCCATAAACCCCTACTTGCGAAATGGCGGAGTAGACAGAGACAGCCGCCATCTTGGGCCCGCTTCAGATTTTCAAATATTAATATCTAGAGTTCAGATTAACCAATACTAAAACAACTTATATAGTAAGCATCAATGGAAAGGTCACTATTAATATTCCAAAAATAAATGAAAAATATTGAAGAACAAAAAAGTTAGAAAATGCACTTTTTTAAATTCGCATCTCCTAACGACAGGAAGTATTGACGACGAACGAAAGGTCGCGTCCTGGATAGTGAATATCACGATCTATAATCCCTGAAAGTTTCATGTTGATATCTTCTACCGTTCTTGAGATTAACCGTGGACAAAATGTCATTTTAAATTCAGAAAATGTCCCGTAACTTGGCACCAGAAGAGAATTTTCAAAAAATCTCTCGGAAAAAATAACTTCAGATAACAACACATAATTTCTGTAAATTTCATGAAAATCCACCCAGTAATCTTCGAGAAATCGCGTGCACAAAATTTGGTGTACGGAAAAATAATAATAACTAGATGTGAAACTCGTTGCGAGCAACGAGAGGTCTTCCGTCCGATTCCGGGAAGAAAACGTTAAATGGAGCTGAAAATGTAAAAAAAAAAAAAATATTTGCACAGAAAGGGGGATTGAACGCAAATCACCAGCATGAAATTCCAACGCTCTGAATATTACGCTATTGGGACCTCTACTCTAAATCTGCTTGTATATATTCACGAAACAGTGCTTCTCTCTAAAATTTATCAAAGGCGGGTCACTATTCAAAATTCAGCGCCAAACGCCACGAGTTAATCTTCGTACCTTTTCTTTGGAATGTTCTATTAAATAGGAGTTATAGCTTCAATGAAATTAAAAAAATGAACGTTCTTATAGCCTACGTTTCGAAGTTTAGAAAGTATATATTTAACACATTTTACAATTTCCATATTGTATTTATGCATGTAACACTAAAGCGATGAAACGGTTATAAATTTTAAACTTTTTTTTTCAATTTCCTGTTTATCCCCAAAGTGAACTATCCCGATTAGTTAATCGAAAAAGGTTGAAACGTTTCGCCGAAAAACATGGCTCGCCCTACATGTACAACAGTCTAGGAATCAGATATCATTTATGCTCAATAACTTGAATCAGGTCTTTGAGACAAGAATGCTAAAATAAACTCCATGAAGCGATCTTTAAAAAAATTGTTTTCTTATTTTTGTCTTATTTTAAGTTTAATATGACACAATTGTGCATAGAAAAACAGTGGTTGAGATTTATACTTGATATTGATATTGATATAATTGACATTCTTTTTTGAAAAAGTATTATTTATTAGTATGATAAATTTAAGATCTGTTTTTCCGTAGTGCACAAAAGATATTAGGTATCGAATTTCATTTGCACATTTAGTCTTTTCTTTTTCTACTTTAAGAACCAGCCAAAACCAATTATAGAAGACGTTAGTTTCATACAGAACTGCAACGTAACTACGACGTGCCAATCCAAGTATTCCTTTACATTTCATTTATCCTTATGTTACTTTCGTTCAAGCAAACGCTTGGCTGCCTCCGTAAACCCCTATTGCGAAATGTCGGCGTTGAAATGGACAGCCGCCATTTTGGACCCTCTTCAGATTTTTGAATGCTAATATCTAGAATTTAGATTTATCAGCATTCAAACAAATTATATAGTAGGCATTATTAGAAGGGTTTCTATTTACATACCAAAAATAAATGAAAAATACTGAAAAACAAAAAAGTTAGAAAATACGATTTTTTTCAATTTACATCTCGTAACGACCGGAAGTACTGACAACGCACGAAAAGGTGATTCTGCAAACCACAAAGTCATGATCTATCATCTCCAGTAAGTCTCCAGTTCATATCCTCAGCCATTTTCGATAAAAGTGCGCGACAAAATCACATTTTAAAATCAGAAAATTGTCCATAACTTGGCACCAGAAGCGAATTTTCCAAATTTCTCTACGGATGTAACAACTTCATATAATGACACATATTTCGTGAAAGTTTCATGAAAAACCGCTGAATAGTTTTCGAGAAATCGCCTGCACAAAATTTTGTCAAAAAAAAGAATAATAAGAATAATAATAGGAAACAGTAGAATCACTATAAGGTCTTCCGTGAAGACGAAAGACCTTAATAAGAAGCAATAGAATCACTATAAGGTCTTCCGTGAAGACGGAAGACCTTAATTATATATAGTCAGATTTCTGGTTAGGAATTACCCGAGTTTACTTGTAGCTGTATTTACCTATCATGAAGAGGAAGAATAAATGTTAATTTAAAATTAATGTATATGAATATTTATTGCAAAAAGTGAATTTATTGAATATGTTATTTAATATTGATTATTATATTTAAAAAATGACTGTCATTTCTTTAAAAAAAATTAAGCTGATATATAATTAAGAAATTGACACCAATTACTTTTCATGGTTATTTCTTAATTATGCAGTATGAATTTCTATCTTGTTATAAAAGTAAAGATTCATAGATTGAAATAATTCAGAACTTGTAATTGAAATAATATTAATTTTAGTTGTTTTAATTTGTAATTAATTTTTCCAATTTTCTCCTATAATTTCACCTTTACCCTATCTAACAACTTTGGTCTGTTGATCTAGACAATACCAATTAATTATCATCTCACCTGGTCAAATTCCTGCTTTGTACACATTTTTTCTATGCCTGATATTCAAAATTTCAAATTGACATTAGATCTATTTGATCAAAAGAGGCACAGTTACATGTAAATATGATTTTGTATGAACAAACAATATATCTTAATTAAATTGTAATATACTGAGTACAACCCCTGAATTTAATTTGTTTTCTGTTGTTTGTTAACAAACGTGATACACCTGTGCAGTCATCAGCTGATTATCGTCAACTGAATCACCTGTCAGTATACGATTGTACAATGAGATCTAGAATTGGGACATTTATAACAATTTAAATGAATAAAATACTTACACTTTTGGTACTGGTAATGATAGCTACTGCAAATACCAGGGCTATTTTACGTGTCATGGTCAATTGCTTGTACAACAAGTTTAACTCCGAGTAAATCCGTTTATAACATGATTTATATTGAAGCGGTGTAATGTTAGTCTGTACCATCGGTGTCGATTTATTTCGCTGCTGAGGTCAATAATCCACACTTTCACATCTCATGTCCAGAATTATGTCTTTAATGAATTTTATTTTGTCAATGACTCCTGAGTGAATATATTTACATTATTAACAATATAATTTAGAATTTTATCACCCTTGTGCTCGTCGATCTTCCAACACGTTTTACAGATAACTTTAGTAGAATCTTGGTTGGAACATACTGGACTTAAAACTTTAATTTAAGCTCCTGATTTATACACTTCAGATAAATGTAGCAATAAATAACCACAATGAAAATAATAAATAATTTTATTAGAATTGATTTCTTCGTCCGCAACAACAATAACGCACACTAGGATAATTGGATCATAGCGCACATCGAGCATAAAACAGAATGTTTTTTTTAAAGTCAATTTTTAGAGTTTAACTACACCCAAAATTAACAACGTCTTACAAGAAAACTAAGAAAGATATTTTTAAAAGAAAACCATTTCAAGAAAGCACATATCCCAGAGAATATTTTATGAAAAAATCAGAGAAAAATGCAGCTAGGCCTATTTTCATGGTTTGTGGGTTGAGCTCTTTTCATAGGTATATTTTATTTTTTCCGACTAGCCATTTAGGGATTTTCTAACCGATTAGCATCATTTCGACCGATTAATCGATTAACTGGTTACAAATTGCCATCCCTAATAAAAATATACATGTATATGTATTTTTAAAAATGCTTACCTGGAAATAGTACTTGCATCTGCTCTGGACTCATTTTGTGTTGACCATATTCCATAGTAGGTTTATTGTCTATTAAGAATTGCTCTAGGTTTTGTGGAAAAATCACTGAGTCAAAATAGATTTGAAGAGCATCTCTACCAATTTTTGTCAGTTTTTTAAACATCTTAAAATTCCACTTCCGTATTTCATCTTCTGAGTTATGAGGACATTTACAGTCTGATGAACCTGTCAAAATACATTTTCTGTTTTCTGATAAAAAGTAGACTGAATTTATAATGTAGAAAATTTTATTTCAAATTTGGGGTCATTCATCTTAAAAGGAACATCAAAAATGTACAATATTGATTTTTACAACATGCAATCCCTATCACTCCAACAATAACAATTTTGGGGAATTTAAAATATTTCACTTATACATTTAATCATACTTTGATAGTTTATTATCTCAAAGTTGAAAAACTGAGAGATATTGAAGGGAAAATTCAAAAGGAAAATGTGGTTAGTACTATAAACTCACTTTGAGATATCAATGGTCTTCAAGATATTGATCATGATGTTTGAGATAGGTTCAACTGTATTGGACAATATCTTTTTAAAAAAGAAATTGCCCTATTTCTTCACCATTTGAAGAAATCACAATTACAGCTAGAGTACAGTAAAACTTGTTTAGTACAAACACGAATATTGAGAATTCACAGATATAGCGATGTCATCTTGGTCCCCAGCCCTATAAATTTAACTAATTCCTTATACGGATATAGCTAGGTAATTTCATAGGTTCAAATGAATTCGTTATAACCAATTTTTACTCTATATGATTCCTAGTGAAAATATTCAAAGAGTCATGAAAAACAACTGTATATTATATCATTATGAAAGAGCAAACATAATGTAATCATTACCATTTTCCTTCTCCTCATGTGACCTTTTGACGCCCCTTGTCTCATGAGTGGTTGCTTCTGTACCTGAAATGAGAATTTGTTTTATAGAGATAACCAAGGTGGAAATGGATCAGTCATAACATATAGTTTTTTTTTCTAATAGCAGTAAGTTGTGCATTTTTTACTAGCCATTTTTCTTACATGTATATCAAATTCTATCAACCAATCAAATTGTTGCCTGCAAAGTCATAGTATATCTAGAGTTGTTCTGAATTTGACCTCTGACATGCCCCTCTATGGGATGTTGTTAGATGTTAGTGTAGCGAGTATGCGAGAAGATCTAACAACTAATTCAACTAGAAAACTGACCAGTCAGCAAGGGCCCTGCCATGGGGTAGAATTAAAAGGATGCGCTATACAGAATGATCAAAAATATATGAAGAATAAGCAACAGCAACTGTATTCTTAAAATTTCAAGATAATTCCTGAATATCCAAAAACCTGTAAATAATATTCTTGTATTTACATTAGGCAGTAAAGAACAACTTAACATTGAATGTAAATTTAAACAATAATGAAGCTTGTGTTATATTATACACGCATTCTCAATTTATAGTCTCAATTCGCTATAAATAATGTACCGCGTTTTAAGTAATATAATATTTCAAATAAATTTTATTTTCTGCCAGTCTTACGAACCTTTGTTGGTTGTTGATTAAAATACAACAATTGTTTGTTGTAGCTTGAATGATTGTCTTAGGAGAAAATCACATTTTATAGCAGAAATTGATATTTACGTTACTGTCGCCGATCATGATCGTGTAGTTTTTATTTTAAACCAAAAAGAATTTTTGAATCATTAACATATCTTTTTCTTAGTAAGATTGTCCTACATTTGAGTTATATTTTCTGAATATCACATCCTTCACACACATGCGTGTCACAGATTTTTAAAAATGTTAATATATTTATCAAATTTTGATGTCATCGCAAAATTATAACTTTTCTATTTGGAAATTCAAAAGGACTGGAAGGAATGATGAACTAACTCAATAGGACTAAGTTGTAACTTTTTAACATCATGAGCACCCTTTCTATTGCATGGAAAGGTAAAAAAGACACTGTTTATCTGTGTTTACGAACAATAGCCCCCTTTTTCTTATAAGTCCAATGGTTAAAAAATTCAACGATATTTACGTGTTAGTATTTATTCACAAATTAAGTAAGAGAACTACACTGTCCCCTATGGGCCAAATTGCCTTACACTCAAGCACTAGAATATGCCTTTAATTAACAGTGGAATAATTGAACAATGGCATTAAAAGTTACGATAAATCTCAGAAAGATATTTACGTTACCGATATTTACGTTACCGATATTTACGTTCCCATGTTTTAAAGTAAATAAGTATTAATTTCTAAAGCTGTTTGAACAGATTTGCGAGTGAATCTTTATGATGTAAATACTAAGAACATGAAGAAATATACACTGTTTCTTAAAATGTCATTTTTTCTGTAACAAGAGTGCAGAAATGCAAATGGAAGTGCACATGCAAAGGTGAACATTTTTACTCAATATCTTGTGCATCCATGTGATTTGAAAATTGAATTGACATAATATTAATCACAAGTAGAATCGTGGTTTAATGATTGAATCTTTCCATTTTGAGCAATTGGTTAATATTGCATAGTTTCAAGTGTAATGCACGTTATCATTCGGAACGTAAATCTGAAACAAAACTTTCTTCAAGTCTGTATTTTGCTGTTTGTTTGAACTGATAGTGATCGTCAACTTTAAAAAAATGGTTATATACACTTGAATTGTATACCAAGCTAAATATTTTGAAGAAAAAAAATCATTTTTGTAGGAAATATAATTCCAGAAAATAGGCGCTGCGTTGCATGCAGTGGGGGGGGGGGGGGGGGGGGGGGGGGGGGGGGGGGGGTGTTTTACATCGGGTAAAAAAAGAAAGACGGCTGTGGGTGTTGTGTGTCAAGATACTGGTTGAAATTGAATCCATTTCCATTTTTGTTGCTTTGCAAGAAATAAATTTATTAACATGTATAAAATTTGCACCTAATTTTTCCCATTTGCATTGTTGCATAGACATATGACTTAGGAGGTATGCGTCTATGCTTTAATGGTACTGAAAATTCAATTTACGTTATATGAACGTAGAATGTATATTGCTCTATAAAGCACATGTGATGTGCAACTGTAATTACTGACAAACTTTTTAAAGGTGGTGGGCGATCTTTGTTTTATTTTTGAGATTTGACGATAAAGTTTTCACAAACAATTAAGCATTTCTGGTATGTAGCAACAAGGGTGGGGGAGCAGTCCCACCCTGCCCCCTCCTTTTTTCTCCAGCCTTACTTCAACTTCAGTAAATGTTCAGTGAAAGGCTGGTTGCCCCCACCCCCACTAATAGTGATGTACGGAAAATATATTGTAATAATTGGTACTGAATGTAGTTGGCATTGAAAAAAGTTCGCCTCCCACCTCTAGGATTTTCGACTTTGAGCAAGTTTTCTCACCCCGCCCCCCCTTTTTTTTGCCTTGTCAACTTTCCAGGTAAGTAAAAAAAAATTCTCTGGCTACCCCCCCTTCCACCATTTAATCTGTTGATTATTTCAAATGCAGTCATTCACATAGCATCGTTTTTGAAAGTGTATGTGTGTGTGTGTGTGGAGGGGGGGGGGGGGGCTCCACACACACACACACACACACACATACACTTTCAAAAACGATGCTATGTGAATGACTGCATTTGAAAAATATGGTGGAAGGGGGGTATTATAAATTACATGAGTCCTCTATAGATAAATCATTTATAACTTGAATTTTCAATTCAACCCTTTGTAAGAACACAGATTAGAAAATTCAAAAAATTCAATAATATGAAATAATATAATCATTTTTCCCCCGAATATACTTTTATTTTTGTATGATATCTATGTGCGATATTTACGTGATATTTAACAAACACTTCGTAATCAGGTAATGGCGAAATATTTAACCTTTTTATATTCTAAATAATGTGCGTTTCTCTGAGCAGATTAATATAGAATCAATTAATGTAGCATTTTAGGGAATATTATCATTATTAAGCTTATCATCGAATGTGCTAAAACTTGTTAAAATAAAAAGAAAATAATTTCATTTAAATGAAAATTATGTCCGTTTTATTTTTACTAATAATTGAATCAAAGATTGTACACCCCTTTTACAAATGTGCTTAAACGTTTCATAAATGTTTATAGTTAACAAAATTTGATGTGTATTATATTAATTTTGTATTTAAAAAAAAAGTCTTTTGTTTCCAAATATGGCTTTTCAACATCACGTAAATATCTTGGTGTAAAATTAGCCCTCCAACCGCTTTTATTTCGAAGGAGGCCAACAAAACACTGCATGAAGTATGTAAATCAAACTGCGATTTTTAATAACTATACACTTTCATGTTTCAAATGACGTTTAAAAGTGTTAATTTCAGTTCACTAATTTTTTTTACTTTTCCCAAGATCGATTTGTGACTATAAATTGAGAATGCGTGTATATATAAAATCCCAGCCTTCAATGAATGCAGATATCATGAAGGCTTGACCTTAACTTCAAAACAAATAGCAGTTGCAGACAAAGGTTTTCATTAATCTTAAAGTGACAGATAAAGAAAAGCCTACTAAATTTTCTGCAGCAGGCTAGATAATTAATCCCAAGGGATTAATTGTACCTCTCTCATCATTTTCTTTTAAAGTTACAATAAGAACTTTTTTTCAGTATTAATGATAGAATGGGGGTTTTATCCAACTACCTTAAAAATCAATAATACTTTTGAATTTACATAAAGGAAAAAAAGTAAAAATAATAAATATATATCTTCTTTAATCTATTTCTTGTTTTTAGAATTCAATGAAATCATAACTCATTGTGTAAGTTATTCTAACAAAAATAAAGTATAAACATTTATATTTAAATCCACATTTCAGAGTGTTCATAGCATTCCAAATTGACTTAACTTCAAGACAAACTTCATTTGCAGACAGAGGTGGTAATTAATCTCAATGTGACAGATAAAGATAATGCTTTGGATTTTCTTCAGGAGGAAAGCTAATTAATCCCAAGGGACTCATAGCAGCATTCAGTTTACAATGGGAACATCTTCAGAAGTTATCTCTCTTTGCCAAGGCATTCTTATACAAAGTTAGGGAATCTACCCCACCACCCCAGTTCCAAACTAGGGGACATAGATAAACAAACTTAGCATCAAAATATGTCTTTCTGCCTATTGAACTAACATACTAAATTTGATCTTAATTGGGCAACCATAAAAAAGTTATCAGGAAAAAACTAGTGTTGGCAAATCGGACGATTTTTAGTCACCGGTTACTCGCATACTCTTCCGATCGAGTACCCGGTTACTCGGATGATTTTTTGTTATAGTTTCCGTATTTATTATGAATCTCATCCTTTTATATATTGATAGAAGTAAATAATAAATGTTACATATATGAACTTCATTTACAAATACAAACTCCAAAAACACAATACCTTCGAAGAATTTTGATTTTAAAAGTCACTTGAAACGGGGAATTTGTATTGTTTAAGAAATAATTTTATCGACACCTGAAGGAGATATATGTCACGATCGAGGAAAATTAACCTACTCTGTAATACTTTGCAGTTACTGATTATATTTGTTGAGTTTCATTAAGTCACTGGTTATCGAATTATTTTTCAATCTTATTTGATTTAGCATATTTGTAGTTCCACCCGTATACGACAACTCAGATTCACAGAAATTCTTTAACAATATTTCCACGCTTTAGATGTTTGCGGCGGCATCTTGTTAAAGTATGTTCCTCTGACTTACACAGGTCTTAATGGGGCAATTATAACTCAGGTCTTCAAAACTTGTACCCCGTGACAATTAAAGTCATTAATTAAACTAATCAAAACAAATCGATCCTATTTGTGAACCACTAGAGCAAGCCTAACGGTAATTAAATTAGGGAAATGTGTCAATATACATTTACAAATAGCAAAAAAATTATTTCATACATATTTACTATGAAAAATGCATTTTTATCCGAGTAACCGAATAGCAGTTTTACGAACCGATACTCGCATTGTTCGATGGTTAACCGGGTACTCGTTGCCAACACTAGAAAAAACAGAAAATTTGTGGACGGAAGAATGACAGACGGACAGACAGAGTAATTACTATAGGGCACCCGCAAATCCTTGCGGGGCCCTAATTAGACTGCAACATATCGTCATCCTTATATGTAAGTTTGGTGATAATCTGTCCAGTGGTTCTTGAGAAGAAAAATTTTAGCAACTACAACTTTTGTTTTAATTTCCCTAATTATCTCCCCTTGATTAAGGGTTACATCCCTGTTTTTAGTAAAAATTAGAACTCTTCAGTTAAAGAAATTTAACAAAAGTTGGTAAAGGGGTTCATACATGTAAGCTATGGTTCATATTCTAAAATGCACAACACACAAATGGCCATAGCATTAGCTCTTTGAGACTTCAGCACAAAAGAGCTACTTGTATTGTTCTAAAAGCATAATATGAAAAATGTTCTAAAAATATGATGATGTACATTAAAGAAATAACTGTAAACAGAGCTTGTTTTTTACAAATCCTTGCCAGATATTCTTACCTGATTCTGGACTAGATGACCCGTTTTGCTGCTTGGCATCAAGATTGACTGGTGAGACACTGCAGGTGTCAGCACTTGGTTCTTTTCTTTCTTTATTTTAAAAAGATCACATCATGAATATTTTGAACTCTTTATACACAAACTTACTCAAACTAAATTAATGTCATACTACCTACAATACATTGAATAATCAACAATTTATGATAACATAAATGATATGATTATGAAAACTAGTGTTGTCACGATGATCGATTAATAATCGATGATCGGTCGGAAAGGCTGTCAATTTTAGACAATCGATTGGAGATTTTAACAATCGATTAATTGGTATATTTCAGCACATATCTTTTTTATAGTTTTCTCACTTTTATTTCAAGAACTAGCAGACTCTTGTTATCAAAATATATATCTTCCAAGTGTTGTCCTTTACTACCTATTTTAAAATACATTACTTAATATCTGTTTAAAATAAATCATAGGATAATGATAATTGTACATGTATTTCTAAACCGAAGAAACTAAACAACTTGTATAAATGAAAAATATTAGTTTTCTGTATTAGGGGGAATTCACTTTTCATTTCATGCGTAATCACAAGGATTTGCAATATTAAATGTCTTATAACAGTTTAAAAAATTAATTCCATATATAGGCTCATAATTTAGATGATCATGTAAATTAAAACCTGAAGACTGATCTGTCAATGCTTATGTTTCCCAGGCCAAGTAATTCCTAATCATGCAAAAATCTGTATTACTGAAAGTGTTAATTAAACTGCATATATACTGTTTTTAGAATTTCGATCTGTACAATGCACCTTTACCTACATTATTTAAAAATAAAATTCTAAATTTAATATGTAATATAATGCCTATTTTATGCAAATGGCCGATGATCAGTTGGTTAGGGTCAACCGATTCTACCGATTAATCGATTCTGATTTTCAACCGATTTGACAACACTAATGAAAACCCACTGCATATACACAAAAAGTCGACTTCATATGCATGTAGCTTGAAAAAGAATACACACAATATACATACATATGTATTAATATGTTGATATTTAGTTAGTGTCACCTTTGTCTTTAGGAGTTATGGATGCTTTTTTTGACTTTGATTTGTGCCACTCCTTCAACTTCTCCATTTGTGATTTTGCAGATTCTGGCACTTGGCTCTCTAGGTATATATGATCTTTGTCTGCAGTTAAAACTGCTGCAAAAACAAGGGATTTATTCCAATATTGTGAAAAACAGCCAAGGGGATTCATAAAAAAATCTGTTGAAACCAAGATCTCAAAACCTATGATTTGAACAACAAACTTGAATCTACATTACCTGAAGGTATTTGATATTAGTAAGACTAATGATGGCTTCAGGAGACTTTTTTAAAAAAATCCTATTTATGAGAAACTTTGATTGCCAATATTGCCCCGCCCTAACCCCAAATGGTAATGATAAGAACAAACTTGAATGTTCAAATTTTATTTAGTACCGGTAATACCATATGTTTCCATATGTCCAGATTTGTTGCCCGAGGAATGAGATCGTCCATCGGACACTTAATTTGTTAAAGCATTTCCATCTGAATACTAATCATGGTTTACCTGTTCTTGAGCATGTTAAGGTTTTTCTTACAATAAAATCACATATTTTTGTGTGTGGTTAAATTTTCATAGTTTGAAGAAAATTGTTGGTTTTATTTATATCTGAATTTGGTTTCATGGAGGAAGAACACTTAAGTAGAGTATATGAAATTTTCATTTTGTGGTGTCATGAATTCATTGGTCTCTTCATACCTTGAAAACAATGACCGACCAACCAATCAACAGAACAACAGACAGCAGCAAAGCAATATGCCCTCCCTTCTTTGAAAGGGGGCATGAAGAGAAGCAAAACAAACCTTTTTTGCCGTACACTTTCCAGACACATCCTATTACTCCAATGATCTGGTCATTCACCCCTTTTAGGAAGTCTAACTGAAAAAAGATGTATATGCACTGTTATAGACCTTTATATCTAGAAGACAATCAGCTTGATTTTGTCTAAAATTAAAATGATGTAGCAAGTGCTAAATAAAATATCTTCTAGTGAATTTTTTTTTTCATTCTTGTAATTATTCCTTTTAAGTTTGTAAACATGTTAAAACAGCATAGTCCTAAGGTATCCTGAGTGATTTCAGAATGGCTCTAATATCTTCCTTTAAAATTCAATAATTTGTGTAATAAATATGCTTGTTTTGTATTCATTTGAAAATTTGTATCCTTATTGTTCAGCAGAAATTCCAAATTGTAAGTCATGTACACTGACACCTATTAAATATTATCTGCCTAAACTTCTGAACCCCTCAACCAACAAAAGTATAGCATTATTCTGATTTCATGCTCCTCGGGGTCTAACAAATATATGTACAGGGACATGTTGTTAAGCATGTTAAAGATTCCTTTGATAATACTTTAGGTGTTTCAGGGCATAATTTGTAGATAAACAAGATGAAAAATCATATTTTAAACTGTCTTTGCTGACCATTGGACCTGACTGATGTACAGTGCCTCAGGTGTTATACTGGGATATTTCATTTTTAACAACATGACCTTTCTTTGACACATCTACACAAAAGTCTGTTAACCACCAAAAGGTTTCATCTCTATCATGTCTACCTGGGTACCAGATGAATGCTTTGACAAGAATTACTAGAGAAGAAATATTATAAGATTCAAAGTAAGACTTCATATTCCCAAACTTGAGTAATGTCAGTCATTTATCAATTAGAATAGAACGTCTTACATCTTTCTGTTTTTTTGTTGTTATTCCAATAGTTACTTCCCCTGTCGAGTCCATCAGGTCAATATCTTTCACATAAAACTTTTCCTCATCATCATATCTGAAATCTGCTTTGGACAGTTTCTTTACCACGCCCAATATGTCTACAAATTAAAAAACAAATAGCACAATGATTTGTTTAGTATCAAAGTCCACTTCAAATATGCTGACAGCTTACCAAATTGATTCGAGGGCTTGGGTTTTCCATGAATTTCTTTGACATTCACTGGATCAAAATGAACAGGTTTTCTCACAGCGCTTCCTGTGCTCCATTGACTACTACCACTTAAACTAGCTGTGTGACTGCTACTACTTGAACTAGCTGTGTGACTGCTTCTACTTGAACTAGCTGTGTCACTAATGCCACTGTCTTGGGACTGGGAAGGAACATCAACTGGCTCAATTAGGGGTTTGCGCTGAAACTTAAACTCGTACTTCTTGTGGTACTTTTTGTAGTCCTTGTTGGCCACATTTATATCTGCACCAATACCAGTAATGTAGTACTCCTGTAAAAGCAGGTATGTAAAAAGTGCATGTCTTAATATATATTTCAGTGAAAATATATCAATGAACTGATTACCGGGTATAAAAAAAATTCTGCATCTGAAATTCTTAAAAGAATTATATACTAAGAAATAGAAATACTTTTCACAGTTTAAAGAATTGAGTATGAATTTGATAGGTAAACTATTACAATTCATTACCTTAATAAAAATATGCTCTATAAAAAGAATAGAAATCAACATTTGCATGATACAACAGATTTGAATGAGTTGACTATGAAATGGTTGCCATTCTTATAAACTCTGGCAAGACAATTCATTGAATTGCTTGGAATACTGTCCTCAAAAAGTGATCTCTCTTACCAGAGGGATATTACCAGAGGGATACTAACCCTTAACAAAACAAGAAACAACACAACCTGCATGACCCGTCAAGTTAACCAAACTATAATGATAGAAAATAATGTCATTTGTATTGAGAAAAAGTGGAGAATGACTTACCTTATTGTTTTCAAATTCTGACTCTAATTCTTCAGCAATTTTGCCAAAGGCCACTCCTCTTATTTCCCCTGAATCATCTTGAAAAATCACTGCAAATCTCTGACCCTCCCCATTTTTGTTTCTCCAACTTTTCTTTTCCTCTGTGTCTGTTTGTATTCTCACAGTTGCCTTAATCTTCCAGCTGACAATAAAAAAATATGAAAAGCAAATCTTTATTTGATTACAGACTACAGAGTTTGTCCTACTAATTTTAAACTGTCTCAAGTGTTCACAGAATTGGGGAAAATGTTTCAAAAACTCTTCAAATTGGGAAAAATGTAAAAAATACTAGACTAAGTTTCAATGCTGAACAAGAGGCCCAAGCACCACATTGGTCACCTGAGAAACATTGGTCCTGTTATTCTTTGCCTGATTTTCCCCATTGTTATACACACTATGGCCCTACTCTTCCTCAGGGGTCTGTAGTTTGAACAAACTATATATAGAAACCACACTACCTCAGTAAGGTTTCCATATAAATTTCAGCTTTTCTAGCCTAGTGGTAATTGGGAAGAAAATTTTTGAAGATTTCCCAATATTTTTCAATGTAAAATTTTGATTTCCTATTGTGGCCCGATTGCACGGCCATCCAAACCCCTTGAGGAATTCAGAATCTCCACTATCACTGGAGTTTTCCACATAAGTTTCTGAATCAGCTTTTCTGGCCCAGTGGTTCTTGAGAATAAGTCTTTTAAATGACCCCACCCTGTTTTTGTCTCTTCTTGATTATTTCCCCTTGAAAGGGACTTGGCCCAAATCATTTTAACAACATCTTGATTTCCATATTGGCATAACTAGAATTCTTCAAATTAGTAGCTTGTTTGGACATCTGACCATAAGAGCACAACCTCATGGAAATACAAAAAAAATAGTTACATGGCAATCTTGATCAAAATGTATTTGTCATCATTGTTGTGCATATAGCAATTATTAATGAAAAGATATAGAGACATACCTTCCAGTAGGTTAGAGTTGCATTGTATTTAGATATACCATACAACAGATACATACTACTAATTATTATAAATATAATTCGATATCATTGTCATTTCCACAACAGCAAAATGTTTTATTTGCATTTTCGTGAGGATGTATTCATGCATTGACATTCAACAAATTGTTTACATGTTTATTATGTTACATTTACCCTAGTAATCCTGTAAGATTTGTGCATGCATTTCCTCATTTTAAACAATTCTTAAGAGGACAAGGTCTATAAATGTTCCCTAGTCATGATTTGGATAGTGAAATATTAGAAAGTATTTAAATTTTTCTTCACCTAAGATTGTGTGGTTCCTGAGAAAAAGTTTAAAAAGTTGAAAATGTGTAAAGATTACAGACACTGATCATGAGATGGATCACATGCACGGATCTCAAGGGGGGTGGGGGGTTCCGGACCCCCTGGAATTTGCAGAGTTATTAAATTTATATACTAAACCAAGTAAAAAGTGACCTTGAACCCCCCTAGAAAACGCACCCCCCCTTTCAAAGACTTGGATATGGTTAAGTCGGTATGAAAATCCATAGGTATGATGAAGATTTGGAAGTCAACGCCGTCGAGATAACATTTTTCTTTTTTTTCGGGGGGGGGGGGGGGGGTGTCAACAAATTTTTGGGTTGGATTTTTTTTCACTGGGTTGTGATCAAGATGGGACAGACAAACAGCTTGATGAGTGAAGTTTCTGTTCGGGTTAGCTAAAAATGCACATATAAGAGTTATTACCCTTTGACAATGTTATTAAAGTTTTTAAAAATAATTCTGTTAAATATTATTCTAAATTATTTTACTTAATCTTATTTTAAAATTATCCTTTCAAAAGGTATCAATTTTATTAAAATTTTGTACGGTTATGAAATTAAAAGACTTATAATAAAAAGCCTGAAAGTCTGTGAAATTACGTTTTATATGAATCATTTTTTTTTTCAACACGGATAGTTCCTACTTCTAATCACTAATGAAAGGCCCTTAATATGATTACACATATCACAACCCAGTGAAAAAAAATCCAACCCAAAAATTTGTTGACAATATACCCCCCCCCCCCCCCCAAAAAAAAATGTTATCTCGACGGCGTTGACTTCCAAATCTTCATCATACCTATGGATCAGGGTACACAGCAAGCTACATTTTAGTAACGAATTTTTTCTTTCATTAGCTTTATAATGTCAGGGATTAATATAAATTCCTGATCATTTTGCTGATAGTTTTAATACTCTTGAGTCCAGCCTGACGAAGAGTAGCTGAAAACAGCTGTTGAGAGATGAGCTATAAACTTGACCGTACTTACCGTGTTGATATTTTAGAAGTTATCTTGTCTATTTTGTATAGTTTTGTTATTTTGCGTGGGGTTTTACAAGCCATTAATTCGTTCTAGTGATCTTCACTCAAATAAACACCTAAAAACAATATATTTAAAAAATCCAATTTGTATTTTTCTAATTCGGCGGGCAATCGGGTTACCTCGCCTTTTCCCGTCGCATGCAACGAAAATAGGCGAGGTGATCCGATTGAGGGATGCTATTTGGGATGGTATAATGCCCTGATAAATGCAATGTCCTGATGAAATGTCTCTTATATGCTTATAAAATAAAATCTTTCCATAAAATATGACCTTTTTGCAACGAAATTTGTTTCTTAATTAAAAATTACTTCAAGATTCGAATTGCTATGCATAATGAATTATTTGACCTTTCTACGCTTATAAAATTTGATTTTTGGCATTGAAAATTTAATAAGCAAGAACATTATTTTAAAGTCTTAAACTTTTGCTGAATTTGAGCAGATGGGTCAAAGTTATCTTAAATATTCAGAAAAGAACATTAAAAGTTATGGGTTTTTTTTATAAAAATATATTGCTAAAAAAAAAATTCTAACAATAACAGTACTGTATACTGAGTTCAAAAGGGGAAAATGTTCATTTTCATCTATAAAAAAAAAAACTTCCGTCACAAAATATAGTTCCTGGCTTAACCCTACTTGAATGAAATTTAATCACGTTTTTTTCCATGAATATATAATTCAATTTGCATTGTAGACTCAAGATTTAATGTTAGAACTTTAAAATGATACAGGATTTTAGAAATAAAGGTCCAGACCAAAATCTACTCAAAAGCCCAGGATCGAACCTCCTTACGAATCCGAGTGATTTCATCCCTGTTTATGTTCGCCCCTATAGGTTTTGCTGCAGTGAATGGGTTAGAAGGAAATAAAAAATATTTCGTTTTTATTGTAATTAAAGAAAATTAAGTTATAATTTCTTTCACAGAAAAATTTGACAAGCCAAATATGAAATTAGATGTGTCAGATTCTGTGCTTACTTTAAATTTTTTTTTTATTAAATGTTGCTTCACATGAGTACAAAAATAGGTTTGCTAATACAGGGGCGCAATTAGTACTGTATAATGTGGGAATTGCAACAGATTGTTGGAAGACCTGATCTCCAAACATAGGTTATCAAAGATAACGAAGCTCACCTCGACGACTGTTATCAGTTGGAGTGATGCAAATCTCACATCATATTTTTTAAATAGTTAATATTTATCCTGACAATAATATTTGTGCAAGTTCTGTTTAAATAGATCTTCAAGTTCATTGAGGATTGACCTGTTCCAAAAGCATTAACCTGGTCACTCCTCTGGAAAATGTAGATCAGATCTAGCATCAGAAGCAAGTCTCGATTGTCCATCCTCAGATGCATCATCCACGCAAGTTTGGCCCAGCTAGGGCTTATAGTTTCTAATTGGGAGTCACTTATCTAGAAAATGTAGGTCAGATCCAGCATCCGAAGCAAGTCTGGTAGTGTCCATCCTTAGATGCATCATCCATGCAAGTTTGGTCCAGATAGGGCTAATAGTTTCTTGGGAATAACTTGGTCACTCATCTGGAAAATGTAGGTCAGATCCAACATCCGAAGCAACTCTGTATAGCGTCCATCCTTAGTTAACCATGCAAGTTTGGCCCAGCTAGAGCTTATAGTTACTTGAGAATAATCGGGTCATTCATCTGGAAATTGTAGGTCAGATCTAGCATCCGAAGCAAGTCTGGTAGTGTCCATCCCTAGATGCATCATCCATGAATGTTTGGTTAAGGTAAGGCTTATAGTTTCTTGAGAATGGACCTGTTCCAAAAAGCTGTTTTTAAAAATATCGTTTTTGACTGATACATTAAAAGAGAGCTATTAATGTATCAGCAAAACAAAAACAGCCTATGGAGACAAAAGAGTTACATTATTGATGATATATAGTCCATATTTAGAATACAAAAATAGGAAAAAGGTGAGTCGACCCAAAATTTAAAAGGAAGAAAAATGGAAAGGGGGGGTCCATACCCCAGGTGCCTCTGATCCCCAAGCTAGCTAGGGTGGCACACATCTTTAATTTTTTTTCAAAAACAGCAAAGACGTGATAAGTTTATATCTAAATCGTGGTTAGAGCAGGCGATGCTTTAAATATAAATAATTATGATTATGACCCTAGAAGTCTGATAATGAAGAACAGCAGGGTCATATTGACTCAGGTGAGCAACATGGCACATAAACCTTTTGTTCCCATTTAGATTTTTTTTATAACTATGTTATAGCTTTATGTAAAAAGAAGAATAAAATGATACTAACTGTTGTTTACCTTTTTTATATATATACTGAGTATGATACGGTATATTTTTTGACCAATTTTTAAAATGTACATGAAATTCTGCCAGTTGCACATAGTTATGCTCCCCTTTAAAGAAGCCTTGCTGCTTCTGTCTGTCGGTCCACCATCAATTTTCTTTCATTTTCTTCGTGTAGGTTGCACATAGGAAATTTGAAATGAAATTTTGTATACAGATTTATCGTAAGAAAATCTAGGTAAAGTTTTATTTGGGATATGATCGGGACATTTTAGACAAAGTTATGTCCCTTGAACTTAGAAGAATTCCAATTATTTGCAATTTCCGTTCATGTTCTTGCAGAGGTTGCACATATCGAAATGAAATTTGGTATGCGGATTTATCATAAGAATAAAAAAATAATATCTAGGTCAAGTTCCTTTTTGGGTACTGTTGGGCCATTTTGGACAGAGTTATGCCCCTTGGCCTTAGAAAAATTCAAGTTATTTACAGTTTTCGTTATTTTCTTCATAAAAATCCAATTATGGGAGGGAGAGGGGCAGAAGTGTTTTACAAACACCTCTTGATTTATGAGTAATGATATTTGAATCAGCCTAATAAGTTTAGACACCCTTCACGTGCAAGTGTAAAGGATGAGCAGGAGATTAAAGAAGGTTGTCTCTCTGCTAACACAAATGGAATTTTTCTGTAAGATTTGTGACAAGATAAAAAAAAAATAAGGAGATTCAATTTTCTCTATAAGGCCGTTTTCCGGCCTACAGCAACTTCAAAACTTCAAGTAATGTTTTCTCAGATGAATCGTCTGAAGAATAATCCAATTTCTTGATAATTTCCGTTTAGCTTATGATTATGTGGTGTTTACAATGATAATAGGGTCACAAAGTGATGTACAGTGTTCTATTTACCCGTATTAGCGTTAGGGCAAAGGAAAACCCGGGAGGGTGGGGTGCGTTTGGCAACTACTTAACACGTCATAACCACCTTTAACCAACGCCAACACTTGCTTGCAAACTTCCTATATAAAAAGTGACTACTAAATTATGAATTTGGTTAAGACTGCTTATGAAATCTAAATAAAAACTATTCATTTCATTTTAAAGATAATTGTAGGGAAAGCTTAGATGCTCATAATGAATACACTTGCCTTGTTAAGATTGTTTCATGTTTTAAAAATTCCGTTGGAGGACGGTTTTTTTAGTGTGTAAAAGATGAAGAATATAGCCCTGTAATTTTCAATCGAAATTTATGTGTTTTTTTTTTCAAAATTCAAAAATCAAAAGACTAGATGAAGCAAAATTACTGAAGCGATTGCTAGAAATACAGAATCAATACTTATTAGAAAGGTATAAGTACTGAGTAAAAGAAAGTAAGAAACTTTATTGTTAAAAGTAAATTTACTTCTTCTTTGAATATATCTGTTAGTACATACATACATGCCAACTAGAAATGGTAGAACCCATCGATGTTGTAGTAAAAAGATAAACGTTTGTTTTAATGTATATCTTAAATAATTATAATAGGTAATTGTGAAAGATAAGGGATTACCTGTACAGTGCAAAACTGAGTTTTTAGTGGTTAAAATTATTATAAATTATGAGGAAAGGTTTAAGCTATATAATAAAGGAGAAATTGAACCTCTGTGAATATTGACACTGTTGGCTGTACAAATGCACTAGCTAGTAAGCTTGTGCATTTGTACAACCAACTTGTGCCAATATTCACCGATATAAGTTCAATAACCATATATTATAATATTTATATACGAGGTTTGTTAGAAAAATTTGCGGACAAGTTCTATTGTGAGTGTGTTATTTCCATAAAACCTATTTTAAAACTCTCCAGGTAAAAACTTACCATTTTCCAATAAATATAC